GGGACAAACTGCAACTGAGGTACGTGCCCTTAGCGGGAACCGAACCTGGGTCTCTCTGGACCGCAGGCTGACGCTCTAACTGCTGAGCAAAATGGGCCAGGGCAGTTTTATATTTTTTGTTTGTTTTTTGAGAGAGAGAGAGGAAGGGAGAGAGAGATAGAAATATCCATGTGAGAGAGAAACATCCATCAGCTGCCTCCTGCACGTCCCTTACTGGGGATCAAGCCTGCAACCCAGGCATGTGCCCTGACCAGGAATCAAACCAGCACCTCTCAGTCCAGGGGACGATGCTCAATCCACTGAGGCACACTGGCCGGGCACTAAGCACAGTTTTTATTTTCTTTATATGGTTCAGAATTTTAAAATTCTCCACAATGAACATATATTTCTTACACGATCACAAATAGAACTCTCAGAAAGACAGTCAGACTGACAGACAGACACCTAGATAGATAGATATGTAACAAGACAGACAGATATCTAAAGTCTTGGGAAAGATTCAGGGGCTGCTGCATAGATCAAGTGTTCCTTTCCCTACGGCCTCAGATGGCTGGGAAGGAAGACAAGGAAGACAAGTTCTGGGTTAAAGTCAGCTGGAGAGAAGATGAGAGTACTAGTGGCAAGATAAGAATTATGTAAGAAAAGACACACGTACAAATGTGAAGGACAGAAGGCACTTGGCATTTAGTCATCGGCTTCTTTCAGGCCATCCAAGGACACACATCTGATCACCATTCATGGGAACTGCCCTGTGGGATTCACAGGTCATGTTTTGCATGCCAACAGGTTCTCACTGCCCCTGCCTTCCAAATGGGAACTGGCTTTGGGTGGTGAGCATGGGTAATGGGGTGGCAACTTCGCATCATTTAGCTTGACCTGCCAGGTGTGCTCACCAACCCTCGTAACACATTTAGCTTGCTCTGTGGCCCAGCCAGGAACATGCACACAGGAAATATCAGCTCATCAGAAACTCCGAGTCCTTAGCACGTGCTGGTGACTACCACGATATATGAAACTAACATAGAGCAAATCCAGAATTTTTTTTTTAATTCCAAGGACTGGATAATATATATGGATTAAAGAGAAAGAAACTGCCATTTTCTAGCCAAAGGGTGACCCATTTATATGCCACATTATTTCTCCCTCAGTGTAAGGTGCTGACTGCTGACCTTTCTCATGATCCAACAAACTAAGTGACAAGGCCCAAAAGGGTTAGGAGTATTTGAGGGAGATACCCTATTCCTTGTTAGCATTAAAAATCAAATCAAAACAGAACAGAAAAAGCCCTCCTTTTAGGATTACTAATTAAATAAACATTTCCCCCCATTATCTTAGGATTACCTAATTAGTAATCCTAAGATAATGGGGGGAAATGACCCATATCTAACTCCAAAATAAATTCTAGCTTGTACAGAGGTTAATACTCAGAATTGAGAGTAGGAAGAAGACTAAACATAAACACGGAGAGAGATGAATAGAAAACTGGTATCAGTTTTGGTAAGCCTGCCTAAGCAGAGATAAAAGAAAACAGATACAGGAAAAGACTGATCAATGTAACAATATGAAAAAGTAAAACTTCTATACATTAATCTCTACTACATGACTATTAGTGAGTTCAAGGAGAAAAGCCTTCGAGTTATCTCAATAGATGCTGAAAGGAATGTAATAGGTAGAGGTTTCCTTGACAAGCTATCTACCCTGAAGCAAAAGTCAACATAAGACAGAGAGTGAAACATTAGAAACACATTCGTTAATGTAAAAGTCAAAATTCTCACTATGGCCATTAATTATTTCATATTCTTCTGTAGATGAACCAAGGCAATGAGGGATAAGAGCAGATAAATAGAATATTAGGAAAGACAAAATACTACCTGCAGGCTATATGATATCAATCAACTTACAGAAACTATCAGAGAGGCAGGGAGACAGTTAGTTATAGATAAAAATCAGTACCTCTCCGCTACACAAACAATCCACCGTTGCAAAACCTATGAAAGAAATATTCCTTCTACCAAAGTGAAAAAAAGACTTTATATCATCAAGATTAAATTCTCCCTAATATAAAATTAGCCTTCAGTATGATTTCAATCAAAATTGACATGCAACGTGTTTAGAATTTGACAAAATGATTCTGATGCATATCCAGACATATAAACATGTGAGCACACTAACGAAGAAAGAGCAATTGGATATTAGATATAAAAATGTATAATAAAACTTCAATAATTCACACAATATCAGGCTGAGATCAGTAGTAGGGAGATGTATCAAGAAAAGAGGATAGAGGATCTAGAAATAGACCCAAAGAATATGACTATTTGACATGTAATAAATAGTAACTGTACTTCAAGTCAGTTAGAAAGAAATGCATGTTGGTGAGATAAAAAGATATCTTTTGGGGGAAAAAAATCTAAAACTTCTCGGCTTACTCTTTATCACATGTTCACTTCTCCAGACTCCCTGGTAGGTAGAGGTGGCCAGTAAGACATCAGCTTAGGGGTTCAGAGGGAAGCTTTGGTTTCCTGAGACAAAGAAGCCCAAGTCCTCCTCCTGCCTGGAGCACAGACCCGCTGCGCTTTTGCAACCAGGAGGCAGGGAGCGCCTGGTGAGCTGGAGGAGAGAGAGGAGGAAGCAGGGGCCTGGGGGGGATTCCTGAGCTCGTCTGGACCTGGTCAAGTGGAACTGTTCTTAGATATTCTCGTATTTGTTACCCAGTTGAGCTCCAAATGCTTCTAGTGAAGTGTTTTATAACCTTGGAGAGAAAAACACTATCCAAAATTTACAAGACCCCCCCCCCCCAATCCATAAAGGAAAAGCTGATTAAGCTAACATAAAAACTTTTAAAAACTTTAAAGTTGTAAACAAACATGTACCATATATACATTTAAAAGGCAAATGATAGAACAGGAAATACATGAGACAGATATATAAGACTAATTGATATATAGAGAGAACTCTTATGAACAAAACCATATATAATTCAATGGAAAAGTCGGCCCTCTATGACTTAACCTGGGAAGTCACTCAGCATCACTCTGCTGTATTCCCTACTCCACTCTGAGCTGAAGCAGTCCTAAGCCCACCCAGATTCAAGGAGAGGCCCTAGTCCCCACCGGCCAGTAAGAAGAGCATCAAGAATTGGCAGGCATATTTTAAAACCACTACAAGCCGTAACTACTGAATCTAGTAATTCCCCCTTCTAGGAATTTATTCTACAGAAGCGAGCAAAGTTGTAGATAAAAGATATATGTAAAGCGTTCATTTTAGGATATTTTGTTGTTGTTAATCCTTACCCGAGGATATTTTCCCATTGATTTTTAGATAGACTGGGAGGGTGGGAGAGAAACATCGATGTGAAAGAGACACATTGATTAGTTGTGTCCAACACGACCCCACCCAGGGCTGGGATCAAACCTGCAACCCAGGTAAGTGACTTTGACTTGGAATTGAACCCGAGACCCTTTGGTCCAAGGGCCAACCCTCTAATTGCTGAGCCAAAGCAGCCAGGGCTATTTTAGCATTATGTTTAACAGTTCTCAGAATCCCAGCATGCCTCAGACCCACCTGGAGGCCTTATTAAGACAGAAGCTGCTGGTCCCACACAAAATTTACAGTTTCTGATTCAAGAGGTCTTAGGGGGAGGGGCTGGAGGACTTGCATTTTTAAAAAGTTCCTAGGTGGTGCTGATTCTGTTGCTCTGAGGAAGACTTTGTCAGCCAATGATTTATAACATTACTGTTGTAAATTCTATTACTGTAGTTGTTTCTCTATTTCATAGGGAAAATTTGATCCAACTTTATCACAATGGCACAGGGAGAAATCCCTGGCCTTGTCACAACCTGGCAACCATGCTCTTAGTCATGGTTTTGATGGGGAGAAAAGTCTTTGGACAACTAAACCATAAATTCGGATCTTCTAACCTCAGCCCAGAATTGCTCAGTAGGATTAATGTGGAATTTGCCACAGCAGGGTGGAAGAGAACCTTACGATTACTCTAAACATCCAAGCAGAGGTGTATTCACGGCTAATGTCACTGCCTTGTCCCCTCTCCTGTGTACTCCAGGCTCTGTCATAGCCCTGGAACCTGTCACCAACTTGACAGGTGGACAACACCAGAAGTAGCAGAGTGGTGACTTTTCTAGGCTACTAACCATTTCTGTACTAGCAAGTCTGAATTTTCTTTAAACTGACATCCTGCCATGAGTTGGGGGCGTTTCTTGTTTTGTTACAACACTTGATCTTTACTGCTGCTGTGATTTGGTCCTATTATATTTCTATATGCTATACTGCAGCACAGAGTGGTCTCGGGGAAGGACTGGGGCTTGAGCCTCAGGTCATCTGAGCAATACGCCTAAATTACTTGCCCTCAAGTGCTGACATAATTCGCTTCCTTAGTCCAGACCTGTCCCACTGCTCCCTAAATGATGTACACTCCCTTACCTCATCCCAACGTCCTTTCCCAGCCTGATCCACCTCGTCCCTCCAGTAGGAACTCCAGGTTCCAGTCGCTCGGAGCTGTCCTAGGTTTCTCCAAGTATGTATTGCACAGTCCACCCTTATTCTTACATAAATTCTATTTCTTCTCCCCGAAAGTTCTTCCCCATCCCACCCCTTCCCCCATGAATCGCAATCCACGCTTGACACAAGGTACACAGCTTCCCCTGGGAGGGCCCCCGGCTTAGGGAGGACCCCAGCTCTCCGCAGTCCCGCGCACTGCTACGCTGCCCTGTTCTGCGGTTATTTGTGAGGCTCTTGCAGTCTGCTCAGCACAATGCTTTGCAGGAACTCAGCATCACGGGACATTTGAGGAAGGTGCACTCCATACCTGGGCAGGTAGAAATGCAATGGTCCTTTCACAGTGAGTGACTGGGTACCGTTACAAAAGGAATGTCCAAAATTCAAACGAATGCTGTAAATCCTGCAGCAGAACCACACCAGAGACCCAGCAGCAGGTTTTGAATAATATGCAAGTAAAGCGAGTAAAAGCGAGTGTTGCTCACTTTGAGCTGTCGTCGCACCCTGGCCAAGAAGAACTGCCAACAGTTTTCTCTGGAGTCCACCATGCCCAGAACATGCACTTCGTTACGAATTCCAGAAATAATCTTGTCCACATCCTCATTGCTGAAGAGATCTAGGATGTCTCCTGCCCCCAAAGAAATGAGCAGAATTACCGAGAGATCGTCACAATTTAAATTTTAGATATGCTTTTTAACGCTTGGAATGCTTTACAATACAAAGTTCAATTTAAATGACAAAGATTTTGAAATCGGAAATGCCATTTTTGCCCTCCGCATTTACAAGACACCCGACACACTCAACGTGTACACGTAGGAACCACCGTCACCCCCTGAAGGCCGCTTTGGCACACACATCCGTAAGCACACCAAGAAAGCAACACACCTCAGATTAGTTAGGTGTCTAGCTTTCTCCCCACAGACTGTCCCAGCAAACATCTCGAAGACAAATGATCTCTCTTTAAAGTTCACTGAAACTACAGATAATTTGTCATTGGGGAAGATCTTTCAAGAAATGTGTTGGTTTAATCACCTGATGCCAGCAAGTCATTAATCAGCACGAGAAAGCTCTCATCTAGAACCTGGGCATCTGTCAGCAGGAACACAGTGGGCATGTTCCTGGCTCCGGCTCTGATGTACAAATTGGCGAGATCTACCTGTAAGGAGAGGAGGCCATCACTCATGCTTTGTTCCAGTGCTGCCCTGAGGTTGGGAGCACGGGTGGGGGTGCTGGGAAGGACCGAGCGACTGCGAGGTGAGGGCTGCCTGGGGTGCTCTCCGTCTGCGTGCACAGTCTCCCCTGTCCGTGCCGCTGCTATGGGGCAGGCAGCATGACATCCCCTCCATTCCCGGCACGCGAGGGCTGTGTGTCGTGTCTCAGCCCAGGGCTGAGAGCAGGCTGCTGAAGGGCCCCATTCGGACAGAGCGGGAAGGGATTCGGCGACGCCTTTGCCAATCAGCGCAGCAAAGGGAAGCTTCTGCTCATTTCAATGACTGTTTCACTGAAAACACTTTGCATTTGGCTTTATTTAGTAACATTGAAAGCACCTGATTTTTTTTTTTGTCCGGCCAGTGTGGCTCAGTGTTTGAGCGTTGACCCATGTACCACGAGGTCACTGGTTCGATTCCTGGTCAGGGCACATACCCAGGTTGTGGGCTTGATTCCCAGCAGGGGGCATGCAGGAGGTGGCCAATCGATGTTCTCTTATCACCAATGTTTCTATCTCTCTCTCCCTCTCACTTCCTCTCTCTCTAAAAATCAATAAAAGAAAAAAAAAACATTTAAAAATATAAAGAAAGCACGATTTTTTTTGTTTGTTTAAATTAACACTTGCCACACCTAAGTATTATTTTGTAAATACGGTTGTGATTAAAAACCAACATTTTAAAAAGACATGAGTTTCTCGAATGTATTTCCACTGCATTTTATTGTCATAAACGTATCCAGAGTGGAAGGAATCTATTTGCACTTGTAAAGGCAGTATCTCTCCCCCTCTCCATCATACAGGAGTAGTAACAGTGTTGAATATCAGGCAGGTGTGGTCAATGCAAAGGAAGTGAGTATTTAATAAAATATTTTCTGAGCCAGGTGTATAGGCTTATACACCTATCAGTATTTATAGAAATTTATTATGACTCACTGGACCGTGAAGGAGAAAAAGCCAAAGGTAGTTAAACCCTCGAAAGAGGTGTTTCCCCTTCGCTCACGGCTGGGGGCACCGTCACCAAATCTCCGAGTCAGAGCTGACATGGGTGCACCTCCAGGCCGGCGGGGCGGAGGGCCCAACCCTTCCACTCACCCGCAGTTCTTGGATCCCAAAGCCTTCGGTCAGAGTGGGCGGGAAGACCTCCAGGCCGCAGATGTAAGCTGCCAGCCGGGCCAGGCTCCGCTTGCCGCTGCCGCCCACTCCGATCAAGAGGGCACAGCCCTGCGGGGTCCGGAGGATGCGGCTGATGCGGCATCTGGTGAGAGAGGGAGCACCCGCCGCAGCGGGAAACACGCGACTATGGCTGGTTTATTTTTTAGATCCATATTCAGACACTAAATTCCAGTTATTATTTCAAACCTTTAGCTCCTAATCTTGTCTCCCCATCAAAGATGCTGCCTGCCATCTGCCTTCGCATCGTCTGCCTAACAAACCGTCCTGTTAATGACACTGTGGACTCTCTTACTGCTTAACACATACAGGTCTTTGATCAATGCCTCAAATTTGTTTGATTAGCAAATAAGATCCCACACTTCACACCAGCCCCGCACGTGACAACATCAAAGAGAGAGTGTCTTTGTGCCAAGGACCTCTGCCGTAGCATTAATTTGGAAGGAGTGAATTTGTTTAGACCAATCAACATCATACGTAATTTACCTCATGCAGATTAAACAATGGCCCCTTTTCTATGATTCTTACTTCCTTTGCACTGAAGCTTTCCCTGGGCCTCAAGCACTCTAGAAAATTTGCTGAAATCATCCAAAGTCACAGAGTTAGATTTCCAGCAAGGCCAGCAATCCCGTCCTATGTGATCAAAGAGATTCTGAACGCTGAAGCTGTTGGTATTATTGCTACATTTTAAAACAGGAATAAGTTGGCTTTAAGGCAATCAAAATATGGGTTTGGTTGAAGAAAGACGTCATAATTATGTTGTAAATACTAAGGAAAGCAACAAAACAAAATGCAAACACACAGATACCCATATTAAAAACAAAATAAAACTGGACACCATGGTGTTGGCCCTAAGTTGCTCTTCTAAAATGAATGGAAACTTTAGGCCCTGAATAATCTACACAGATTTTTTTAAAGTGTTTTTTTTTTTTTTCTTTATTGATTTGAGAGAGAGAGGAAGAGACAGGGAGAGAGAAATAAAAACATCGATGAGAGAGAACATCCATTGGCCGCCTGCTGCATGCCCCCCACTGGGGATCAGGCCCCCAACTGGGCATGTGCCCTGATCAAGAATCGAACTGGTGACCTCTTGGTGTATGGGTCAACGCTCAACCACTGAGCCACACTGGCCAGGCTACACAGATTTTTTTTAAAAGAGTGCTTCTTGGGAAAAACAAATGAAGTTGGGCTGGGGCCACTGATACTTGGACCAGCATGTGTGAGCATTTCCTGAAAACTTTCAACAACTGAGAAGACAGGCTATTTTCACAAGCTCGGCCATCCCTTCCATCTTACTCAGTGTGACCACACAACAAAACCACCTTGGGAAAGCTGTCACGCTACTGGGACACAAGCGAAACCCCAACTTACAAAGCGGGGTTTTCATGTCATTTCTTGTCGTGTATCTGACAAGAATCTCTAAGCAGCAAGGACATCACTCAAGGACAGGCTCTAAAATCGTCTCTAACGCTGTGGAAATCCGCTTCTAGCTCATCATCCCTGATCAGAGAAGCAGCTTCCTGTCAGGCTGCTGAGACCCCCGTGCTGAAGGATCCCGTGGGCAGGCTCCCACACACCACGCAGGGGTCTCCCTCCCCTCAGCGTGGGCATCAGACAGCCAGCATGGACTAGCCCCGCCAGACGCAGAGCTACTGTAATCCACTTCCCGCGTGGTCACCGAGTCTAAAACTGTAATCAGGCATGACCACTGCGAAGGGGTCACTGAAACACTCAACACTGAGCGTGCTTAGCACGGGGAGGTCTCCGAAGTTCTTCTCGGGCACGTTGGCTCAACATTGTAAAGAGTGACTCTTTTAAAAATGGAATTCCCCACAAAGTTTGGTCTGTTTAGATTTCCTTCCTCACTCCCTTCCTTCTTTCTTGACTGGTTATTAATCGGGATTTCATGATTTTAATCTGCCCAAGTACCACTTATTGAAAAGGCCAGTGCTATTAACTGAGCGCTGTTCCCTCAAGTTCATATATTAAAGTCATACCTCAGAACGTAAGCTTATATGGAAGTAGGGTCATTGCAGAAGTAACTGGTTAAGATGGTATCATTAGAGAAGGTTGGGCCCCTTATGAAATAAAATGGGTGTCCTTCTAAAGGGAGAGCTTTGGGCACGGACACACAGAGGGAGCTTGTCACCTGAGGGCTGGCGCTAAGCTGCCACAAGCCAAGGGACCACCAGAAGCTACGAGAGAATTCCGTCCCTGCTGACACCTTGATTTCAGACTTCTTGCCTCCAGAACTGGGAGACAATAAACATCGACTTTCTAAACCACCCAGTTTGTGGCATTTTGTTACAGCAGCCCGAGCAAACGAACGCAGCCTGTGAGACATGACAGCGACCAGGAGGACAGCCTGGGCTGAGACGGGACAGCGACCAGGAGGACAGCCTGGGCCCTGAGACGGGACGGCCACCAGGAGGACAGCCTGGGCCCTGAGACGGGACGGCGACCAGGAGGACAGCCTGGGCCCTGAGACGGGACGGCGACCAGGAGGACAGCCTGGGCCCTGAGACGGGACGGCCACCAGGAGGACAGCCTGGGCCCTGAGACGGGACGGCCACCAGGAGGACAGCCTGGGCCCTGAGACGGGACGGCCACCAGGAGGACAGCCTGGGCCCTGAGACGGGACGGCGACCAGGAGGACAGCCTGGGCCCTGAGACGGGACGGCGACCAGGAGGACAGCCTGGGCCCTGAGACGGGACGGCCACAGGAGGACAGCCTGGGCCCTGAGACGGGACGGCGACCAGGAGGACAGCCTGGGCCCTGAGACGGGACGGCCACCAGGAGGACAGCCTGGGCCCTGAGACGGGACGGCCACCAGGAGGACAGCCTGGGCCGAGAGGGTGTGATGGACAGAATCCCACAGCAGCAGCCACGACAAGCTGTTCAGACTGTGCAGCAAATCATGTCATTCCCCTGCTCACATCTGTCCATGCTTCTCACTGAGCTTAGGATAAAATCAGAGGTCCTTCCCCTGGTTACAGGGAGCGCTCTGGGTGTCTCCGCCTCTCCACCCGTCACACACACACTCTGCTCGCCTCGCTCCTCCGCCTGCGGCGGCCACACGCAACCTGCCCTTGGTAGAATGTTCTTCCCCAGATCCGTCCAGGCCTACCTCCGCTGTATGGTTTTGATCTCACATTAAAAGTCACCTCCTCACACAGGTACCCAGTTCCTCTTCGGGAAGCCACAACTTTTATTTCTCAGCATCAACCTATCTTAGTCTCAATGTGACACATCACTTCCTGACATTTTTCTGCTTATGTGTTCATGTCCTTATAAATGTCCATAAGAATCACTAAAATGCAAGCTCAACGAGAGAAGGGACTGGGCTGTTTGCTGCCCCACCCCTAGCACCCACAACAATGTCCGACGGCAGGGGCCCTGCAGATGGTGGAGCAACCAGCGCGCTGCACGAGGGGCCCAGTCAGGGGGTGAGCCAGAGCCTGGTCCGCCAACCTCTACACCAGGTCGGGGCCTTTCCCTAACTGTCCGCCAAGAAGACGCGCCCTCCCCACTTTGTCCTAAGCTGCGCAAAAGCGCTGAGTAGCTGGCCAAGCTCCTCTTCAGCACTCAGAGGGCACTCAACATGCCAAGTCAGAGAAATCCGTTTCAGTCCATCCTGTCTCTACCACCTATGGACCTTACGACTTCGAACGAGTCACCTGTCTTCTTTGTTAGTATTTACCTAACGGGGCCGTCATGAAATGACATTGGATTTATGGCTGTGATGACACCCGAGGAATAAGTGTGCTACGTAAGTATTAAGTAGTATTAAGATGGTGACAGTTCAGGGAGACGCCACAGTTTTCCACTGTACGGCAAACAATGATAAGAACCGATAGTTCAGAGTGCTTGGTATGATCTATTGACAAACGACCGTGGGCACCCGGCCACTTTTACTTCGTAGGAAAAGCATCACGACCCGCCGACTCACACGTGGTGCATGGCGTCTTCGAATAAGACGAGGTGCATGGCCGCGTGCAGCTCATTGTAGTGGTCCAGCGTCTCTGTGAGGACTGCCTCCAGCACCTCCCAGTCCCTCACCGGCAGGTAGCTCGGCTGTCCCCCTCCGCCGGTGAAGTGGCAATAGATGAGAGGCTGCTGAAGCAGGACCTGGCGGTCTACACCCTGCAGGAGGAGAAGAGGAGAGACGGTCATGCCGACCAGCCAGAACGTTTCATCTAGAGGCAGAGCGGCCCATCAGAGGAAAAGCTGGCAGATCAATCCACGGGCAGGCAGAAGAATGTTCCCAAGCACAGGGCAATTCTCTTCCAGAACCACAGCTGTCGGAGCAAGGTAAACATTTACACAACTCACTCCCACCCCTAGCCAACAGCAGGTCATGCCGGAGCGAACAGTGACCTCTCACACGCATACACTTACTTCAAAACATTTACAGGCTATTTCCAGCATTTTCTTCTGAAACAAATCACAGTCCTTTGTGTCTATCAGCTTGTCTCCATAGACGCGAGAAGATTCGTGAAGCCACAGGCGTATTAAATCATCTGAACCCTTCAGACATTCAGGAGAAGCAAATAAAATCCCCTGTAAGACAAGAATTAAAAAAAAAAAAAAAAGATTCAGAAGGTGAGGATATTCCAAGATAATATTTTCCATTAACATTTTCTTTAACTGTATACTGAATTTAGCAACTTATTGAGTTTAAAAATGGGGGGGGGGGGAAGGGGAGGACATCTGTAATACTTTCAACAATAAAGATGTTAAAAAACATGATGAATAGTAGTGCATATATATTAGTAGTTTTACTTTCCGACAAGCAACATTTGAAAATTTACTATCATCTTACTCACTTTTAGGACTGCAGCTAAGACTGTATTTCAAGAGCCAGACCACGAACTAAATACTGCATCTGAGAATTGTGCCTATTAAGTCTTCCAACAGATTAAGTTTCTAAAACCATAGTTTGAACAGTTAACATAAAAGTCATTGGATAATATTTTTTTATTCTAAAGTCCTCTGATATCAGTTCATCTAACCCTTTCATTTCACAGATGAAGAATATGAGACCAAAGTAAATTGCCTGAATCCACACTATGTGGGCACTAGCACCAAACCATTTAGTCTCTCACCCTCCCGCCACACCGCCTTCACTGTCATGGATTCACACGGATGCACTCCGAGTGGGTCCGCTGGCCCCGGACCACAGGAGAACACCCAGAGGACCTGTAGAGAGTTAGCCGCCAAAGGCTGGACAGGTTACTGGCAACAGCAGGTGCAGCTGACCCGCTAGACAGGAACGGAGAGCAGGCAACCCTCCCATGTCACCCTGGCCTGCCTTCCTTTTTCTTCTAGGGTTAAAAATCTGCTTTGAAACAGCAGGCAGGTGCTAGCAATACAAGGAGAAGAAGGAATGGCCCCACTCTGGGGAAGCTGTGGTCTAATGTCAGAAGTGCTACACTTCTGACACAGTTGCAGAGTGAGTGGGGAAAGAGGGTTACACAAATACAAAGAAACAAAAATCACCCAGTGTGAAGAAAGACATCCCATGAAGCTTTCATGTTTAACCCGTTGACTGCCTCTCTCACAGAAGAACTTGGAGCCCATATGTAACATTCCCACTACACTAACGGTATAGGATGGACCACCTTAGTTGGATTTGTAAATAATCCCTGGCTTTATATCGCCTCATTGGACTTTCCTTTCTAAATCAAACACATAAATACTCTCCTTTCACCAGGTAAGCAAGGTGTCAATGTCAAACCAAAATAATCTAGCAATTTATGAAACTGCGATTTCACCCAGCTGGTGTGGCTCAGTGGTTGAGCATCGACCCATGGGCCAAGAGGTCATTGGTTTGATTCCCGGTCAGAGCACATGCCCAGGTTGTATATCCCCAGTGCAGGGCGTGTGGGAGGCAGCCGCCTGATGTGTCTCTCTCATTGATGTTTCTCTCTCTCTCCCTCTCCCTTCCTCTCTCTCTAAAAATCAATAAAAACACATTACAAAAAATAAACTGCGATTTCTCTTGATGTATGTTTAAAACTCATGTCAAATAAATATGAAAAATAGACAGATTATTCCTCTTACTTGGCACAAAATGAAGCAGTCAAATATTTCTACCGAATCAATGAAACAGGGAGTCCAGACTTCTACAACCCGAGAGGGACAACTTCTCCCACTGATAAAAGGGAATAACAAAACTGCCATACTTCCTTCCCAGAGAAGTGTATGGTATGAAATGAAAGAATACATTCAAGGTACACGGCGCAGTTAAACTAAGTTCTATAACTGAATGCTGTGAATATTACGGGAATCATTCCTCCACCCAAGATGCATAGACAGAGCCATCAAGGTACCTGGAAGATGTTCGACAGGTCTCTCAGGTTAAAGAGGTAGTGGAATCGAACAGCCGTGGGTAAGAAGTGATGTACCATCATCTCATGGACCGCGATCGCTGCCTGGATCAGTGTGGGGCTGCTCCTGAGAACGGACGGACCAAATGCATCCTGCTGGAAATGGGAACTAAGGATTTGGCTGTAGATGGTGTTTAGAGAATCCAAGGATGGAAAGTTGAATGCAAACACTGTGAAATGTCTCTGAAAAGAAAAACACATATAAGGATTGCAAAAAATAGGGATTATAAATGGTACCAGATTTAAAAAAAAAAAAAAAAAGCCTTATTTTTGTCATTTCTTTCTGTATCCACGCCCACTGCCAATTAATTTTAGAGTGCCATCCACTCGGACTCTGGGCCTGGCTGTGTGACTTCCCAGAGCCAACAGAATGAACTAGAAGGGCCCGTGTGACACTGTCGCAGGCTTGTGTTTCCACTTGCTCCCTGAAGAGTCGCCCTTTGCCATAATTCTACAAGCCTGCCAATGGATGAGAGACCCATGAAACAGGGCCATGTGTCCCAATAACTACAGCCAGAGTCGCCCTACATTAGCTGACGGTAACCCCCAGACGTGGGAATGAGCCCAGCCAAGATCATCAGTCACCTCGCCGACCCCAGCTGACGCCAGTGAGTAACACTCGCTGCTCTGTGCTATTGTTATATGTATGTTGTTGTTGACAGTGGTGATTGTTATGAAAATGCTTATAAGCACACAAAAAACCTGCTCGCAATATTTATAGCAGTATATTCATAATTGCCAAAATGTGGAAATAATACCGGCGCCCTTCAATAGGTGACTGTGGCATATCCCTAGATGATTATGCTTCAGTGACAAAAAGAAATAAGCTGTCCTGGCCGGGTGGCCCAGCTGGTTGGAGTGTCATCCAGTACACCAAAATGTTGCAGGTTCGATCCCCAGTTGGGGCACATATGGTCGGCAACCGATCAATGTTTCTCACATCAATGTTTCTTTCTCTCTCTCTAAAATCAATAAACATATCCTTGGGTGAGGATTAAAAAAAGAAAGAAAGAAAAGAAACAAGCTATGAAGACATCGAGGAACCTTAAATGCACATTTAAGTTAAGTGAAAGAAGCCAGTCGACAAACTACATCCTATATGATTCCAACTATATGACATTGTGGGAAAGGAAAACTACAGAGACACTAAAAGGATCAAGTAGTTGCCAGGGATTTGGGGGTGAAGGGCAGTTGGGGGTGTGTATAGGAGAAGTACAGGGGATTTTTAGGGCAAACTACTCTGTATGATACTTTCATGGTAGATACCTCTCATTATTCATTTGTCAAAACACATAGAATGTACAACACAAAAAATGAACCCTAATGTGAACTTGGACTTCATTCAGTAATAATTCATCAACATTGGCTCAGCAACTGTAACAGACGCAGTATAGCGCTAGATGTTTCTAGCAGGTCAAGTGAGGCAGCGAGGAAGCACATGGGGACCCGAATCCTCAGTTAGGTTGAGACAGCGAGTGAACCTGAAACTGCCCTAAAATAAAGTCTATTAATTAAAAACCTTACACGGTTAACCAAATGTCTAGAATGAGCCCTAATTTGTGCTCAAAAGCACCAAGAATCAAGACCTGCGATGTCTGAGGATCACATTTAGGGGCTATGAGAAAGAGAGCAGGATTCAACTCCCGACCTGGAGTCTCGGATTGATTGTGAAACTGCCCACTGTCGGGTTCATGCAGGCCACGTACTGACAGCTGTGGATTTCTTTAAGCGTCGCCTTCTGCCTATCATACCTGAAAAACAGAAAACAGAACCTTAAATCTAAAAACTAGAGATAACAGCCCAATAAAACCCACCAGTTCATAAAGGACTTCATCACCAATTGTCTCCTTTGATCTGTCCAATTGCTCCGTGATCTTGAACTCATTAGCCTTGTCTCAGAGACATGTAAACACACGCTTGGAAAACTGAAGGCTACACGGCTCCTTTGATGCCAGAATCCACATACGGAGCCGAATCAATACATGCTATTACTGCTTATTGATTCTCATGTGACTCTATTTCTGGTTAGGAATGCCCACAGCAAGGCTGGGGGCTCTCCTTCTAGTTAACAGCAGGGATCACAGACTGCAGCACCCAGATGTCACCCGATGGCTACATCCCACAGAACAAGGTCACGCTTGTCTAAGGAATTTGGCGTGAGTTAATGGATTCAAGAATTTGATGCTTAAGCCAGACGGTTTATGTTGGACTTTTCAGTCCAACTCTTCCCAAGATATGAAGGGAATCTATTCATTTTCAGATGATGAGCAGAGGACGCAAAGTGAAACCCAAAAGGTGTCAGAAAAAATGCTCCAGAAGAGGAAGAAATTAGAGTAATTCCATCTGTGAATGTTTATCAATAGTAATAAATAATAATAATAATAATGATTAGACTTCAGTAGAGAATAAAATGCAGAGAATCATTTACCAATGTCCATAGTCAATGTGCTGTCGAATCAGCGTGTGGGGCTGAATGGTGCCATACGCGTCCACGGCCGGCATATTCATGTCGTCAATAAAGTAAACCAATTTTTTATTTCCTCCTGGGCCATAGTTGCGACCAGCTTTTTTCTCTAGAGGTTTCTCAAGAATTCCTGAAACCAATATATGATTCTGTCCAATCAGATAAGATGTAACTTTCTGTCCTCAGTCCTTTTTTCTTATTTTTTCCTCATCTTCTGCCCAGTTCAATTCCTCTTTGCTTCATTCCTCTATAGCTTTGCAGGTTAATACCAGAGCTGTGTCTCTGATAACCCCCTTCTATGTCAAGCTCTCCTGCCAACCTCCCTCCTGTAGCCAGAACCTATCCTGCCTGTCTTTTCCTGGACAGTCAATGTCTACAGTCTGATATCACACTGGGCGCCACCCCAGAGACAATGTCATCGTTGATCTGGACACTTTCCTCCCTCGTACCCACTCTAATGCACAGCCCAGTCTCTCAGTCCATCTCTATCACCCTTGCAGAGCATCTAGGGACAGCTCAAAAGAGTCCCTACACCTCTCCTGGGCCACTGGTGTGCAGAAGTACAGGGCTACTGCATGGAGACACCGTACTGTGTATACATACAGTTACACTTCGTGTGCCTATATGACTTTGTGCTGGTACATTTGAGAGAAAATTATGAGTGTAGGAAATCTTGAAGAGTGTGTGAGATGCAGTATCTAAATTATGTCGACTCGCCAAACAAACTAGAAATAGTTGAACACACTGAACTGTCGGTTGTTTATTTCTGTATTCCTGATGACAATCACAATATGTAATTTGTTAAAGGGACAAATGAATAAGTGAATGAACAAAGAAGTACAGAATGAGTAAATTCAGAAACCCCTCTTCTGAGTATCAGACCTGCATTTCCAAGTCCTGCTGGGCGTCCGTTTCTATAAGATACTGGTGCCTGAGTGTTTGGCCAACACCAAGTACGCATCTTCCGCACTCACAACCCACCTCTTCCCCTTTACCCTCCGAGCTCCTGTTTATGGGATTAACATCCTCCCAGTGAGCCAGATGCAAAGGCTCAACATAATCTCTCTCTCCAGGTCACTGATCTGCCCAGCCACTGCCCATAAAGCATTCTTCATGTCTCCTCCTTTCGAGTGCCCATCTACAGTTCTAGTCTAGAGCAACATGACATTCAGCTGGTCCACCACTCAGAGGGACCAGTCTGCCTGCCTCGGACTTCTCCCGAAGTATAGCTTGCATGTCAGCTCCTTGCTCCCCATCAATGCCTCACCATTTCCTGCCAAATGAAATGCATTCTATTCAGCTTGCATCTCAGATCTCTCTCCAGTTACAATGTCCAACCACCTCAGGTTGTCTGTCTGGGACTATTCCAGTTTTAGCATTAAAAGTTCCAAGTCCCAGAAGTCCCTTCAGTCTTTGGCAAACTTGACAGTTGGATCCTCTACTAAAATACAACTCCAACCCGCCACTTCAGCCTTTCCCCATCTTCTACCCCGTCAGTGTGATTCAGTCACCTTGGAGATTCGATGGATGGAATGTGCCCCGTGATGTTCTCTCTCTCATGGGTTTGCTTACACTTATTCCTCCATCCCAAGTCCCACTTTTGCCTGCAGACCACCCCATCTCAAAGGTCTGGAACCCTAACTTTCTTTAGAAAAGAAAGGTTATTTAGATTCCTGGCGCTAATAGGCAATCTTTAAATCTTATTCATGCCTGTCTCCCTTTCAGGAACTAGCAAGATGAATTCATATTGCAGTCAAGTACTTTGTTCAACTATTGAACTGTAGCCCTAAGCTTCCACTTACAAGTGATAAAGTGGTCCCTTCTTCTGTGTCTGTGAATGAAAAACATACTATCACAGTGTCTGAGAAAAAGTAGATAAATAATATATTTGCTGAGTAAAATACTGCTGAGTCATCCTTTTAACTGTTCCAGTCACAAAGACAAAGAAGACAACCTTGATTAAAAAAGATTACACAGAAATGACTCTTGGCAGAGTTAATGATGTCAGTAAGAAAAGTTATTATTAATCTCCACTGATATTATCTAAGAAAACAGCAATAGCCCTGGCCAGTTTGGCTCAGCCGTCAGAGCATCAGCCCGCAGACCAGAGAGTCCTGGGTTTGGTTCCTGATAAGGGCATGTACCTCGATTGCAGTTTGTCCCTGGACCCGGTTGGGGTTGTGTGGGTGGCAACCAGTCAATGCATCTCTCTCATATCGATGTTTCTCCCTCTCTCTCTTCTCCCCGTTCTCTCTCCCTCTCTATCTGAAGATAAATGCAAAAATGTTCTCGGTGAGGTTAAAACACAACACAACAAAACAAACAGCAACAGCACACACCCATGCACACTCACAACACAGAAACCACATTCAGGGCAACTCAGCGGGTTTAATAAACTCCTGAACAACAGTGAGGTTTGCTGCCTCTCCCCCAATACAACCCCATTATTCTGCTGGACTAAGGGACAGACCTACCAAAATCAGCCCTTTATACTACTACTCCTCTGCTTCCAAAGCCTACTTGGCTTGCCTTTCCTAATTTAGAATGCCCCAAATCTCTGTGGTTCTTTTGATTATATTGATACATTTATTCAATATAAAATTAATATTAAATATTAATATCAATATTAAATTCAATAGTTCAAAATTCTTCTTCTAGTTCTCCTAAGACTTAACAGCTCATGGCTTGTCATTTCATTAACACAGTCTGAATGCATTTCTCCTAAATCAATTCCTTACTTGAAAAAGTAACCAGAGCCCGGGCCAGTTGCTCAGTGGTTAGACCTTTGACCTGCGGTCCAGAGAGACCCGGGTTCAGTTCCCGCTAAGGGCATGAACCTCAGCTGCAGTTTGTCCCCAGCCCTGGTTGGGTCGTGTGGGTGGCAACCACTCGATGTGTTTCCTTCACGTTGATGTCTCTCTCTCTCCTCTCTTCCTCGCTCTCCCTCCCACTTTATCTGAACAAAAAATGGAATAAATGGCCTCGGGTAAGGATAAAAAAAAAAGGAAAAGTAACCAGAGCCCGGCCAGCGTGGCTCAGCGGTTCCACCAAGAGGTCACTGGTTCAATTCCCAGTCAGGGCACATGCGCAGGTTGTGGACCAAATGCCCAGTGCAGGGTATGCAGGAGGTGGACAATCGATGTCCTCTCTCATCGATGTTTCTCTCTCTCTCTCTCCCTCTCCCTCCTCTCTCTCTAAAGTTAATAAAGAAAAAAATAAAAAGCGAAGGTAACCAGAGCACTCTTCCTGGAGTATATACCCTCCTCAGCATGCTCAGGCCCCATGAGACCGACTAAAGAAAACCCAGCAGTTTAGAGGCAAAGCAAAGAACACAACTGATGTAAACTCTGGCTGTTCTGAAGAAAAATAATCCAAATAAATCTATGAGTGATAGAAAAAGCCAAAATCACGAAGTATGAACCAAGTATATTTACCCGGAATGGTGACAAGTACAAATTCATCTGAGGCCTGAGAAAATGCCTAAAGCACAGAGAACGCATCACCTCTCTGGGTTGCGTGTCCCAGCCTGACTGCCTGCGACCTCTTGCCCCTGGAATGCACGCCAGAGGACACTTACCCTGCAGAGCTGCGGACGTGGTGTGGTAGTTGAAAGGCACGCGGGACACCATGTAGTCCTCAGAGAGACCGGCCAGCACGTCCCCTACAAGGACTGTTTTCCCCACTCCAGCATTTCCTACGAGCATCAGCGGCTGTCCTTTCTCAAGCAACAACTCGATGAAATACCTAAGACGTGTTGTCTCTGATGTGTGAACCAGGACTCTCTGGAGGGAAAAGACAGAATGGGAGAAAGGTCAGAGAGACACATTCCAGAATTTTAAATCTCCACTGGCAGAGTCACTTTCGACTTGAGACCCAGTGCATTCTGAGTTCAAGTAGACACCAGTAGGAGAGAATTTTCTGTTTTGAATTGTCCACGTTCAGACATCACTGCTTGAGACAGCCGTGGGGACATGCCATTGACGAGCCACGGTGTAAGCCACTGACCTACATTTGTGATGTAAGTACTAGCACCCAAGGCTCCCAACTGTGGAATACCTACACTCTGCCCAGCCTCGTGTCAGGCATACAAGAGAATACAGTAAACGTTTAACAGACCATCCACCACCCTTTAGTTGATGAGAAAACATCTGAAAAGTAAAACCATACACAAAGGAAATTGGTAGCAAAGCTTTGGCCAGTAAGATTAAGTGGCATAATGATCCGGCACGGTCCACACCAAAGGAGTTCAGTGTGGGGGGAGATGCTTTGGGGGAAACAGTGGCTCTAAGTGGAATATTGACAAATCCAAAGCATATTTGAAACTTATTACACATTGTTCTGTTAAAAAATGCATAACAACCCTGGCCAGTTTGGCTTAGCGGTAAGAGCATCGGCCTGCGGTCCAGAGAGACGCGGGTTTGTTTTCTGCTAAGGGCACGTACCGCAGTTGCAGTTTGTCCCCAGCCCTGGTTGGTCGTGCAGGTGGCAGCCACTTGATCTGTCCTTTTCATGTCGATGTTTCTCTCTCTCTCTCTCTTCCTCTCTCTCCCTCCTACTCTGTCTGAACAAAAATTGAAAAAATGTCCTTGGGAGAGGATAAAAAAGATGCATAATAATGTTTCTGCTTTGAAAGTGGGCTATTTATTTAGTCGCTACGTTGTTTCACAAAGAATTAGAGGTGGCTTACAAGAAGGTAGTAAAATAAAGAATACCATCATAAATATCAGACTCAGGGAACACAGACTAACAGATCAGACCAGGGAAAGGGGCAGCAGATGTGGACATGCAGGGAACAGAATCTTACAGAGTGATTAAAAGGCAGCTGACAATTTCTTGCATTTCTTGTTGGCCAAATTAAAAAGGGGGTAAAAAACTACGTGCAGGATTCACACTGTTCACAAGAAAACCACAAATCCCGTAACGGAGAAAGTTCTCCCTATGTGGTTAGCATGTACTGAGTGAGCACAACTGAGTACTTCACAGATCCCGCAGGTCATGTTCAGAACCATGACCATTTACTCTAGGATGTTGTTTTCATTCAGTGATACTCTCAGGCCCTTACTGAAAGGTACCCACTGTTCTGTGCTACATTTTATCTCTCTCTTTTTTAAAATTGCATTGATTGGGGTGACATTGGTTACTAAAACCATACAGGTCAAGTGTACGACTCAATGACACATCATCTGCACACTGCTTCATGTGCTCACCACCCAAAGTCAAGTCTCTTTCCTCCACCATTTATCCCCACTTGGCCCACTCCCTCCTCCTCCCACCCCCTTCCCTCTGGCATCACCAATACTGCTGTGTCTGTTTTTTTTTTCTTTCTTAATCCCTTCAACTATTTCCCCCAGCCCCCAAACCTACATCCCCTCTGACAGCTGTCAGTCTGTTCTCTGTATCTGTGAGTCTGTTTCTATTGTTTATTTTGTTCATAAGATTCCTCATATAAGTGAAATCATATGGTATTTGTCTTTTTCTGACTGCTACATTAAAGAGTCCTACACAACTTTTTTTTTTTTTTTTTTTGGTACGTGCCCCTAGTGGGAACTGAACCCGGGACTCTCTGGTCCTTTGGCCGATGCTCCAACCGCTGAGCCAAACCGGCCAGGGCAGACAACCTTTTTTATGAGTTGCATTTTATAATTTTTTTTTTGCTTTCTTGCTGTTCATTGTCATCATATGCTGTTAGCTCTTTTCTTGCACATTAATGCCAATCATGAACATTTACTGAGAGCTGAGCACGTGACAGGGACTACACTAAGCACTTCATACGCATGACATTGTATCATACTCATAACAAATCTTCGAGGAGAGTTTTATCGTTTCTTTTCAGAGATGATGAAAGTACAGCTTGGAGAACACTGATGATGTGGCCAAGGGCACAGTGAACTGTAAGTGGTGGATTCAAGCCCGAGTCTGTCTCGAGCCGGAGCCCCGTCCTACTGATCACACAGAACGACTTCAGAGCACAGACTGCGGACACACTACCTAATCTCTCGGTACCTCTTTTTCTCTATGTAGAAAGAGAAGCAAGAGTCCATGCCTCAGAAAGTCCTTGTAAGGATTAAGTTAATCCATGTAAAGCAATTAGAAAAGGGCCTGACATAAAGTAATAAACAATAAATAAAATAATGTTATATTAGTATTGGCTATCATCCGTGACTCGGTATGGTGCTCTTTCAATATGTTTAGAGGCTGTTAATCCAATAACCACATTTGGTGCAACTGTGTGTGAAGTAAGACTACAAAGTCCTTCTAGGTTCCTTGCTCAACAAAAGGTATCACTGATCAGGTACAATGACCTTGGGATACCAGTTTTTGGTCTTTGGTTTATTACCAATCCTCGGCTTTCGACCGGCTATGTGACGGTGCTAAATAGATGAAGTCTAGGTAGGCTGAACACACACAGACATTTCAACATCTATATATAGCACACAGAGTAGACACTGCTGTCGCCTCCCGACATCCGCTTCTCCACCTCTTCCTTCCCATCCAAGCCTCGCTGTGCGCTATCTCCAGGCCCCACTGCGTGGCCTTCAGGGGAAGCTCAACCCCATTCCATAGGGTGTGATTGGTCAAAGCCAGTCATGGTGGCCCCATTCCCTTGGTCTGAGACTGGCTGAGGGCTGGCAAAGATTTATGGAAATTCGATGCAGGAGGCGGTCTGCTCTGGGGCTTCCGAGGAAGGTTTCCTCACTCTTAATAAAAAGATACGAGAAAGTCTCCTTCCCGTCTGAAGGTAACTGCTGGGGAACTGGAGCCATTTGGAGACCAGGCAGAGATCCAGTCTTAAAATGAAACCTCTGAGCAGATAGCTAGGAAGATCTGCTTCTTGGTGACATCATCAAATCAGATTAATCAGCCTTGGAGCTGTCCCACCTCTGAATTTCTTGTTTGTGAAATAAACATCCTCACGGTTAGGTGTTCCGGGTCGAATCGTATTTTCTCAGAGTTCTTCTGGTGGAGTCCTGACCCCCAGTGCCTCGGAATGTGACTGTATTGAGAAACAGGGTCATTAACAGGTGATTCAGTTCAAACGAGGCTCTGTGGGTGGGCCCGAATCCGCCCGACTGGTGTTCTGGGAAGAGGAGGATCCGCACACGCTTGGAGACGTGTCCAGGGAGGCCACGTGGGGACACAGCGAGAGGCCAACCAAGGACGGAGCGGTCAGGAGAAGCCAGACCTGCCGACACCGCAATCTTGGATGTCTAGCTTCCAGAACTGTGATCTAATTTGCGCCGTGTGAGCCCCAAGGCGGTGGTTTTCTGTTACGGCAGCCCTAGCCCGCTACCACCAGTAGACAGCTCCTAATCCAGCATGACACGGTGTTCTTACATGGAGACACACACACAGGGACAGTGCCACGTGGAGACCGAGGTGTGCCGCCACAAGCCAGGGGACACCAGGGCGGCCAGCAAGCCCCCGAAGCTGGAGAGGCACGGGCAGGTTCTCCCCTCCAGCCCTCGGGAGGAACAAGTCTGCTGGCACCTTGACGTTGAACTTCAAGCCTCCAGAGCCAGGGGACAGTTTGTTGTGTAAGCCGCCTGGTTTGTGGTGCTTTGTGCCAACAGCTCCGGGAGACGAATGCACTGGTTTTCCTCGTCCGACAGCAGCTGCCTCCTAGTTGTGCCTACAAGTCACCTGTCTGTCCCACCAGCACTCCGCGATAAGCGGCTCCGAAATGAACCAGAATGACATGATCTTGAGGGAAAAAATGTAATAGAAAGGAAAATCGACTGAGGCCGAGTTAGAACACGGCTAACGAATAACTGGACATAAGAGAAATGTAGAAGAACCATTTAAGAAGAGGAACAATAAAAAAGAGAGACAGTCTGGCCCATGTGGCTCAGTGGTTGAGCATCGACCCATGCACCAAGAGGTTGCCGGTTCAATTCCCGGTCAGGGCACATGCCCAGGTTGTGGGCTGAATCCCCATCAGGGGGCAGGCAGGAGGCAGCCTATTGATGTTCTCGCTCATCGATGTTTCTCTCTCTCCCTCCCTTTCCCTTTCTCTCTCTCTAAAATCAATAAAGGAAAAAAAAAACAGAGAGAGAAAGTTTCATTTAGGTTTGTCTGCTGTGGTGTGAATTTGAAACAGGAGTTGCGGAGATTAAAGATTCGTTTTATGGCTTGGTTGGGGGCGTTAAAGGAAAGAAGTTATATATAAAAGTGTTGTCTGAAAAATTTATTATAAGGTCAGAAGTAAGAATCCCCTGAACTATAGAAATATACCTCCAGTTTTCAATAAAACTCACAAAGTTTCTAGGAAAATATAAAGAACGCTGCTACCACAGAAATAAGTTGAAAAAGAGGTAGGGGGGATATAACAGCCATTTCACTGACTGTTCCTATAGCGGGGACCCTTTGCCCTCAGCAAGTAGGTACACACCGACCACACCAGCAGTAACTTACCCACCAGGCTGGGCGAGAACACTGCTGCAGAACAAGAGGGGCTCACACCAGCACAGTGTGGCTTGGAATGACTGCGCCCCACACACCTACCTGCAGAGGTACCTCTGGATCCAGAGTGAATCTGGGGATTTTCTCGGTCCAAGGCAGAAATTTCTTGGTACTGTGGTCCAGGTAATAATCAAAGATTGTCCCCTGAGAGGGAAACTTCACTGCGCTCATATCTTTATGCCACCACCGACTGAATTCAGCTTGATAACCAGAAGGCTAAGGAGAACAGAGAAATCCTTGTTGCGGACTTACAGGTAATTCTGCACACACGGAGCCCCCCAAACCCTGCTACACACACGTGTCTGCAGGGTACAGACTCACAGTGCAAATGGGATTGAGCAACCGACCCAAAGAAAAGAAATAACTACATGTGAGTTACAAGGACTGATACAGTCAGAAAGGGGGAAAGCTCCAATGACCATATATCCATCAGATACACATTTTCTGAATAATTATTAATTTAGAAAGCAAAGTGAGGTTAGGTGAACCTTGAATACCCCCCCGGTCATTCAGCCGAGCAAGGAGCTGCTATAGGAATGCCACACGGCTACCATACGACAGGGGATCAAACAAACACTGCTGCTGATTTCTTTAGAGGTGATTAAGTAGTCAGATCAATTGATGGTAAGTGAGAAAATTAGAACAGATGAATATTTTTTATATCAATTTGTTTTTGTTACAAATGTTTCTGCTTTTTCCTCGCAGACACCCTCCTCCCTATCCCGCCCCCCACCACGCATCGTCTATGTCCCTTGGTTACGCGCACGTGCATGTAAGTTCCTTGGTTTATCTCATCCACCGCCCCACCCCTCCTCTGAGGTTTGTCAATCTGAACCATACTCTTTTCTATAAAATTGGTAACATTATTTGATTTAAATACTGTCCTTTATTTGCATTTAGAGCAATTTTGGAATTTTGGTGTTCAAATAACCCTTTCCTTTATAAAGTTAGGGTGATAATAAATGGTCATATTTTATAAATGCACTTATTTAGGAAAGTGAACAGTTAGTAACCCTGTTCCATCCCTTCAAATCATTACTAAAACTTTGTTGACCTTTGAAATTCTATGTGTGGGAGCCCCGACCATGAGGGCTGGAGGGTGAAGAACGGCATCGACTTGGTTCTGTCCCGGGGTACGGCTGGTCTGGCTGTCAACGCCACGGTGACGCACTCCTGACTCCGGAGGGAAGGACAGTGGCAGGACACAGGCCCCCTTGCTCAAAGGTCTTGTTTGCACAGGAGGGTCGGTTCGAGCCCTTGGCTGCCGGGTTAGGGCTTGGGAACTAGAAGAGGGGAAATGGCAACTGTGTACCAGCAACTAACTCCCCCGGTACCTGCAGGGGCCTGGACGTAGGGTGAGCCGGCAGAGCGCGTTTGTGAGCGTGTCCCCTGCATTCAGCGGTTTCGGGTGTACCTAAGACCTCAGCTCCCGTTCTCTCCAGAGAAATTCTGAAACTTTCTGTACTGGGCTGATCACGCCATCAGTAGAGACACACAGGATGGCCGGAGGCAGCGGTCTGGGCCGTCATGTGGACAATGTGGTCTTTAGTGCCTAGAAGTCACACTGGTGTGGACCTCTGCCTCTCGCCCATGCCAGTTATTTGCCATGTAACAAGAGAAAACACCTGTTAAACTCTTGGGTGTCTGTACCAAAAATAAAAAACATGATATATGATTGTCTAAGCACTATGCCCTATACCTGAAACCAATATAAAATAATATGAAAAGTAAACTATAATTGAAAATGTAAAAAAAGGGGGGGGGGAGCAATAGAAACCCATTAAAGTGTTAATTCTAGAGTGTATCACATCATTCAATTTACATTAAAAAAAATCGCTCTGGCTGCTGAGTGGATAACGATGGGGCAAGCACAGGGCAGAGAGACCAGTGGCAAGGCTACTTCAGAAGCCGAGTGAGAAAGGACGATGGCAGTTCTTGGGAGCCCAGGGAGAGCTGGCCGAAGACCTATTTGGAAGTTGTCTGCAATGACCTGGGTTAGGAACACAGGTTCTGAGTCGGTCGGTTGCAGTTTGAACCTGGCTCAGACATTAGGTAGCTGCGTGTCCTCAAGCATGCTAACTTATCTATGTTTAAGTTCTTTTCTGCTAAGCAACATTAACCAGTCAGAGAAAGACAAGTATCCCATGATCTCACTTATATGTGGGATCAAATGAACAAAATAAACTGACGAACAAAACAGATCCAGAGACATGGAAGCAGGGAGTCTGTCAAACCTCAGAGGGAAGGGGTTGTGGGGCAGGAAGGAATGAACCAAAGAACGTATTTGTATCTACGCATAACCCACGGATACAGACAATAGTGTGGGGAAGGTGGGGGTGGTCAATGTTGGAGGGAAGAGGACATCTGTGATACTTTCAATAGTAAAGCCATATATATACCCCCACAATGATTATTTAATTATAGATTACATTAAATTTAAGTAATATTAAAATTACTTTTAAATGAAGAAAGGGGATAGTTGTACCTATACCAATAGGTATGTTTTTTAAGTGTCAATGAGATAGCTTATTGAAAGCTCTAAGCACATTCCTTAGAGAGAGAAGGCACTCCAATTTGTTGAACTAATGAATGGCTGTCCTAAGAATAGTTCTTGTGTCTGCTTCATTCATGCTTCTAAATTCATAGCCTCTCTTTAGAATGGTTCATAGTTACACCCTTTTTGAAAAAGATAGTGATGATGACAACAACTATTAATAAGGGAGAAAGTGTCTGGGAGAGAAAGGTGACCATTGTGATGCCCAGCTTCTAGCTTAAAGGCTGCCATGCTTGGAAACTGGGAAGATAAAAAGAGGACCATCTGCCCTGGCTGGTAGCTCAGTGGTTAGAGCGTCGGTCCACGGAGCAGAGAGTCCTGGGTTTGGCTCCCGCTAGGGGCACATACCTCCGTTGCAGTTTGTCCCTGGCCCCGACCCAGCCCGGGTTGGGGACATGTGGGTGGCAACCACTTGATGTGTCTCTCACGTCGATGTTTCTCTCTCTCCTCCTTCCTCTCTCCCTCCCGCTCTACCTCAAGATAAATGCAAAAATGTCCTCGGGTGAGGATTAAAAAAAAAGGGGGACCACCCTGGCCGGTTTGGCTCAGCGGTTGGAGCGTCGGCCTGCGGTACAGAGAGACCCGGGTTCGGTTCCCGCTAAGGGCAAATACCTCGGTTGTAGTTTGTCCCCGGCCCTGGTTGGTCGTGCGGGTGGCAACCACTCGATGTGTACCTTTCACATCGATGTTTCTCTCTCTCTCTCTTCCTCTCTCTCCCTCCCGCTCTGTCTGAACAAAAAATGCAAAAATGTCCTCGGGTGAGGAAAAAAAAAAAAGGGGGGACCATCTGGGAGGAAGGTGAGGTGTAGGGTCAGGAGTACAAAGGTCTCAGCTGTCAACATTCTACTCATGCAACTGCCCCTGGTTTTCCAGTCCTGGAAAGGGAGAAACCTTGTGGAAAACAGTGATAAGAACCCATGGGGGCACTGGGGAGAGGGGGGAATTCTACCAGTGGTCTCCATGGAAAGGAAGCCCAAACCTGTGGTAAACTGTGCTTTTGAGAAAAACCATGTGAAATCATACAACACCAATTCTTGCCTTTCACTCAAAGCCAACAGCTGTTATTCTTCAAAAAGGACTTGGGAGATCACAGAAGGAAATGTAGCTTCTGAGAGGGTCAAAACAAAACCTAGGAGGCCAAGTGATTATCAAATTTATTTATAGATATGATTTACGTAACCCAAGTGACAAGAAGCAGAACTGGTCCACAGGTGACAGCAACCACGTATTTTAGGATTTCCAGGGAATAAACCAACAGAAATATATGGGTCACTCCGGGCTGTGAGGCCTTCCAACTTAAATTCCCTGTTTACTTCTGGAAACCTCTGGGGAAGTCTGGAAGATGCGTGCCATCTATTTTTAACGCAGAGATTCGGGGGCACCTGTCAAAGCGCAATGACCACGAGAGATCCTGAGGTGCCCTGGAAGGTGCGGCATCTGGAAAAGTGCCCGGGTGGGAGTCCTGATGCTGTCATCTCCTACCAGTGCAACCTTGGTCAAGTTACTTCCCTGGGCTTCATTCTATCTGCACAATGAGGATACCTTGAAGGATTATTGTGAAAATGATACAAGAAAATCTGTAGAGAGAGGTGCATGGTGGATGGAGATTAGGTGGGCAAATTTCTAACATTGCAAAACTCCTACTTTGCACTGTAGCTGTTCTAAGCAGCATGTGTGTGTGTGCAAGTTCTTGTCTCAAGTATTTGCCCAAAAGAAAGCAGAAGTTACACGTGGGTTTATGCTGGAAAAGCTGTGTAGGAACGACAGCCTCACTTTAGGCTGAAGGGAAGACCAATGGAAAGGAACTGGCCTGGGGTTGACCATTACCCTGGGAATCGTGTGTGAGGCTGATTAGAGGGAGGAGAGAGTGGAAACAGAAACAATTTGAAGGTTATTATGAGTTGTGGATTGAATTGCATCCCTCCAAAATTCTTATGTAGAAGCCCTAATCCCCAGTGTCATGGTATTTGGAGGTGGGGCCTTTGGGAGGTAATTAGGTTAAATGAGGTCATGAGGGTGGGGCCCTCATGGTGAAATTAGTGCCTTTATAAGAAGAGATACCAGAAGGCTTTTTATCTTTGTCTCTCTGCCGTGTGAGGACACAGAGAAACAGCAGCTGTCTACAGGCCAGGAAGAGGGTCCTCACCAGACTCGGATATGCTGGCACCCTGACCTTGGACTTCCAGCCTCCAGAGCTAAGAATAAATGTCTGGTTTTTAACTTACCTAGTGTATGGCATTTTGTCCTAGCAGCCCAAGCTAAGACATGTGACAGCCCAGGACAACCTAAATATGTTACACTCTTGAGTGAAGGCCACAGGGCTGGAGAGGAGGGGACAGACTGGACAGCTACGTTGTAACTGACACAGGATCTGTGACCATCAGACACGGGCATGAGGAAGAGTAATGTCTCCCAGGTTTTAAACTGGAGCGGCTGGGAGGAGAGTGGAGCATCACTTAGGAAAAGAGCAAAGAGGAGGAGCAAATTTGGGGGGGGGGGGAATGAAGAGCTCTGTCTCCCGCATGCTGTTGGCACTGCTCCAGAGGAAGGGGGAGACACGGAGCCCTGCGCTCTGGGGGTTATGTGGTGGAAGGCTCTGGACTTGGTCTGCCAGGTCAGGAGAGTCAGCCTGGATGGACTTCCCTGGGCAATGTCCAGGCTTAGGAGCGAGCAGGCAAGTAGGATAGATTTACGTCACAGACACAAGCATAGGGGTCACACAATGTTTGTAACAACCCCTCCCGCACAACACAGTTCCGTAAACTAGTTGTAACCACACCTGATCTTGTAGCAGAGTGCCTCCGAAGGCCCAGATACAGGCGAAGACAAAATAGACCTCATAGACTTCTTTTGGGCTGTCGGAAGGTACATTTTCCGGAGTCAACAAGCATTCCAGGAGAGCGCAAAGAGTCTAGAGAGCAAGAAACAGCCATGCATTTAGGGAGACATTTTTCCAGCCGTGGAGGACATTCACAAGGCATCAACAGATCCACCTGCTCCTTAAGAGCGTGCTTCCTTCTTCCCAGCTCTGATTTGCTGGGAGAGATAAAAGTGACTGCCTTGGGTTTCTATGCCAATCAACGGTGCAAAACCTTGCCACTTTTCATCCAACTGATCTAATAACAAACTATTAAAAAATTAAAATTGTAAAGTGTCCATTTACTAATCACTGTAATAAACAGGAACATATATAAGCAAAAAAATAAAACTAATAGGGATGTATCTATGCTCTCTTTTTCGTAAGTAGGGAGTCAGGCTACACATATCATTTCACATCCCACTTCTTAACTTAAGAGTACCAACTAAAGACATCTTTTCCTACCGGTGTTGGCCCACTACATGGCTGGGAAGGAATGGATGAATTCCAGGGGTGGGGAGGCCTACCTCCCCCTTTCCCTCTCGGTGGGCATTCAGCCCACGTTCCCTCAGCGCTTCGGCGGCCGGTCTCCCCACCCGCTGTCATACACTTAGACAGTCGGACCGGCGTCCGGAGCCTATGGCGTGTTTCTGGACATCGGATTGGATTTAGGCTTGGAAGAAATGCTGCTCAGGAACCCGTTCTCCACACCCGCCAGCTGAAGCCCAGTGTGCTCTGCTGGTGTGAAACACGCCTCGCGTTCAGGTATCAGGTCAGTAATGGGGGAATCACTGCAGCACAGGCCTTTCCCACAGAAACCATAACCAGCAACAAACGTGGTCTTGACCTAGTTCTCTAAAGCGCGAAATAGTTGTCATGAAGTAGCATCGTCACAGACCCTCACAACTCAGTGCACCCTTCCCCTAGGTTTTGGAGACAGCAACAGATTTTTATCACCACCGGACACACAGCCACGCACGCTTTCGCGGGCAGTGAGGACTGGCCTTCCCGCCCAGCGTGAATGATGGCGCAAATCCACCGTGACATGGAACGGGGGCCTGGAAACCGTCTGAAATGCTTTCAACTTTTATAGGTGAGCACCGCTTATATTTTTCAACCTTCCCTCTTGATTTCTAGTTTTTATATTTTGTTATGTTTGCCAATTTAAGATCGTTTTCTAATAGAAGAAAACTCACCCATTTGTCATCAAGAAAAATAATGTACGACTCTTTGCTGTTTCTGAGTTAAAGCCATGTTGGTCTAAGGAACTGTTCAAATCGAAACAAAAAGACTGAAAGGTGTCAATGTTAAGTTATTCAGCGATTTGAACACTCTAATAACTTAGTTTTTTTTTTTTTTCTTTTCTATTTTCTCCCAAACACCTACTTAGAAAACATTTTTGAGCTCTGTGTCAGCAATTAATAAAATCACACCTTGGTGCGTGTTCTGAAAGAGTTAACATGTCTTCAAACTTAAAGCAAAGAAGGGTCATATACTAGAAAACATAATACATTAATTTCTTAAAGTAGTCGTTTTAAGTTATTCTCTTTTATGCCCATCTCTGTTTCAAATTCCTGTCCTTATAAGTAATCCCAGAAAAGAAAAGAGACTATTGTACTGAACAGCTAAAAAGGAGCTGAGGATAACTGGCCATTTCTGAATACTACAAAAGGAGGAAGTGAGAGCAAAGGTCATATTAATTCCTACTGACCTATTTTCACACTACTTTTGAATGAAAAAGTTCGCACCATGGAGAATCACACAAATACACAAGTCAACCTGAGAAAGAACAGGACCATGCTTTTTACAAGCATTACACCAGAGGAAGTCTAATTAGGCTAACTACATAATTAATTCATTATGAATAAATTCAGACCTGCTTTCAGAAATAAATTATACCTCAGATAATTACTGTTGAAGACTAGCGTTTACTTAATTGGTGTGTGAATTATCCAAAAACCTGAACTTTCTCTTCTTATTATGCTTGTGACTTTTTCTAATTTAGCTTCAAACAAATTTGATAACACAGTAAGTTAATGGTAACAAAGTACTTTGAAACCAATTTTGCTCCTATAGGTAAAAAAGCGTTTCTAACTATAAACCTTTTGTGAAGTTTTATGTTGAGTTCTTCTTCATGCTGAGATTAAGATCACAGCCTTCATTTCTGTGCACTGTGAATTATGTTTATTTGCTTCCACGAAAACGTATCATATATACCCTTCACTCTTACCAGCTGTCTCACAAGTATTAAAAAAAATTACCCCGGGAATATTAGGACTGTCCACCTAGCCTGACCCGACTTTAGCAATGCTGAGGGGAGGGGAGAAAGGAAGAGAGGAGACAATGGTAGGTTGGTGTGTAGTGACAGTGATGTGGGTGAGTCCCAAAGTTTTCTCTTACTCGACAGTCAACATCTGTCATTACTCGTACTTTCTGTGTTCGAAAAGCATACTGAGCACCTTCGCTGGGCTAGTTACTTAAGATGTAGAAAAATAAATGAGGCTGTTACAATTTCTTATTCTATTCAAATGTACTTGGGAGATACACAGGATTCAACAAAGACATTTGGCACCTGCTATAGGCTAGTAACCATACAAATCTCTGGAGATAAAATCTCCGGAGGTCGAGCCCTGGCCCGTTTGTCTCAGTGGTTGGGGCGTCGGCCTGCGGACCAGGAAGTCACGGGTTTGATTCCTGTCAAGGGCACGTGCCTTGGTTGCGGTAAGTCCCTGGCCCAGGTCGGGTCATGAGGGAGGCAGCCAGTCAATGTGGCTCTATCACATCGATATTTCTCTCTCTCTCTCTCTCTCTCACTCTCTCTCTCTCTCTCTCTCTCTCCTCCCTCCCTTTCTCCCTGTCCTCTGGTGAGGAATAAAAATAAATAAATAAATAAATAAATAAATAAATAAATAAATAAATAAATAGTGTCTTTGATACTGTAATAACCTGGTTATTAATTAATAGTGGGAAAGGAGGGGGGCAGGTAATATATAGGCATGTCATTTGTGCCAGGAAGCTGCAGTCTACATTCTCCAGGTCTGTTCCCCAAAGATGGATGCGGGAAGGGACTGGACAGCAGACCCACGCCCAGTAAGGTCTGGGTGATGTGGGAAGATGTCCATTGCACCTGGGAGCAGGTAATTGGCCAGAGCAGGTGTGGCCACTGCAAGGGCTGAAATCGGAGATACTTAAACTCCTAAACAAAGGGCGTTCCCGCTCTTGGTCCTGCTCGCTCTCTTGCTGCTCACCCTGACCCCTGGCCCGCGGGCTCTCACGCTCCTGCAGTCACCCGCGTGGCTCGGGGCCATGGGACCCCCACACTGGACCAACGGACTGCGACTAGCCTGATGCTGCCCTGGACTCAACTGCACCAGGGAACGGAAACTCCACACTGGCGCCGCTCCAGCTCTGCCAATCTACCCCTCTGCCAGGCCTGGATGCAGGCACATGAGACTTTACAAACCGAGGGGTATAATTCTACACAAATAGAAGTCACTCATCCTCCTGTGCAAGTCTCAAAAAATATTTTTCTTGAGATCTCATAACAACCCCACTCCCCTAGCAACAGAAAAAGGGCATCCGTGCCGTCTCCGGTGGCAGCCTCAGCCCGCGAGGTCACCCCTTGTGGAAGAGCTTACAAACCCGAACAATTACAGGATGTGACGGGGGGGTGCAAAAAGCCCTGGGGAACAGGGGGCAGGAGAACGAGGGCTGGAGAAATCTCAACTCTGGAAATCTCCCCATCTTCTCGATCAAGCAAAACGTCCTGTTGCCTCCCTCGGCCACACTCCCGCGTCAGGGCTGGGAGGTGACACGGCGCAGCCGCAGACAGACCTGCACCAGGCTGCTCTCTGGGATCGAAGTGACGGTTTGAAAGCTTGTCCTCAGCTTATCCAAGCACGCAGGGACGTATTTATCAAAAAGAATCGTTAAATTGGCCTTTTCTGATTGATGCCGCCTTCTCTCTATCCAACTGGCCACATACCTGAAAAAGAACACAAGAAAGCTTTTACCGAACCCTAGGGCTTGAAAAGCCGAATTTGACCGACTCCAGAGCTTCCCCCTTCTACACAGCTTGGGGCAACACTTCGGGGACATGCCTAGTGAGTTCATTCTGTTTCTAAAGCTGCAAATATTATACAATGACCTTTTAAAAATGTATTTTAATGGCCATTTTCACCTTAATGAAAAGAATGTAAAAGAAACTCCTAACAGCACTTAGATGGCAACCATTACAGCCTCCAAGTAGGTCATTACAGAGCTGTTACAAGAAAGTCCAGGTTGTCATTTCCCGGAGGACTGCACCTGTCCCCATAGGGTTGGCCGGATTTCTGACGGCAGGCTGAGATTTTTCTTGATTAGTCTTGGCACCAATTATTTAGTAATGAGGAATTAGTTACAAATAAAAAGGTGAAAATTCCACAGGGGCTATTTCCTCCCTTTTCCACGGGACTGAAGGGAGCTGTCCCCCGAGGGCTGTAACGTGTTTCCAAGGCCTGGCTCGGAAACGCTGTCTCCTTCTTGGGCACATGTGTATGAATCTGAAGCTTATACAATGTTATCAGTTTTGATACAAAATCTCTCACTCATTAATAAAAGAATACTCATCAATGAAATGAAGCACAGCTTAACAGCATCCACAGCAGTCTCTGGGGGGAAAAACAGTATGATGTTAAATGCAAAATAACTGCTCGAAAAATTCTCATTAAACAGGAAGCAGTGATAATAAATACATTCGGCTGCCCACAGAGAAGCCCTGTGACCAGACCAATTACAACTATACGTTGCTCCAAGCAAGTCCGATTTCACATTTTCAGTATCAGAAGAAACTAAGGCAAGATGAGTAGCTTATAAAAGACTTCCTTTGATTTTCACAAGGCTTCACATTAGGGTTTGATTAAATATTTAACTACCTCGACACTATTATTTGATTATAAAATGTGAACCGTCAAAACTTTTTCGGGTCCAAGAGGAATGGTTTTCCGTTGAAGTCCAGGTTCATGGTGGTAACTTGAGAGCATATCTGGGTGACGGTGACAGTGGACAATGAAACAATGGACAACGGGTGTTAGTGACTGGGATGGAGGCTGGAAAGCCACACCTACCCCTCAGCTACTCGTCTTTACTGAGTAGCAGGTGCCAGAGGGGAATCTTAGTGCCCAGAGCGTACTGTTGATGGGGCAGGGCGGGGACTGTTTAGGGAGATGGAGTTCCAAAGTCAGACCGCCTGATCTGTATCCCAGTTCCACCTTTTTCATAAATCCTTACCAGAGGATATTTTTCCATCTTTCTTCAGATAGACTGGGAGGGAAAGAGAGAGATATTGATTGGCTGCCTCCCACACAACCCCGACCAGGCAGGGCCGGGGATGAACCTCAACCGAGCATGTGCCCTTGACCAGAATCAACCCCCTGACTCTTTGATTTGCAGGCTGACGCTCCAACCGCTGAGCCAAACCAGCCAGGGCCCAGCTCCACCTATTTTAACTGTGTTATCTTGGGCAAGTTACTCAACCTCTCTGTGCCTCAGGTTTCTCATCTGTTAAAGGAGATGATAACACAGACTTCTCAGGGTTGTTCTGAGATTAAACAAATTCTCATGTAAAACGTGCTTAGATTAATATTTGATACATCACAAATTCTCTATAAAGGTTAGTCATTAGCCCTGGCCGGTTTGGCTCAGCGGTTAGAGCGTCGGCCTGCGGTCCAGAGACACCCTGGTTCAGTTCCCACTAAGGGCGCGTACCTCGGTTGCAGTTTGTCCCCGGCCCTGGTTGGCAAGCCACTCGATGTGTCCCTTTCATGTCGATGTTTCTCTCTCTCTCTCTCTCTCTCTCTCCCCCCCCACTCTGTCTGAACAAAAAATGGAAAAATGTCCTCGGGTGAGGATGAAAAAAAATGGTTAGTCATTAGCACAGAGTTGATGGACCTGGGAGAGCTGGGTTCAGATCCTGACTCTGCCTTGTTGCGCTTCTCCGAAAAGCTGCAGCCTCCCAGACGGCACGAGAGTGGCAGCCAGCGCGCCGACGGGCACAGCAGATTCCACCCCAGCTCCCAGCAAAGTCCCTTCCAGCCTCCGTGGGAGCAGAAGGCGGCGCAGAGATCACCAGGGGCTGCAGCCTCCACGCAGCCCAGGAGGAGACGGCTCTGCACGTAGGGGCAGGTGATCGCCACGTCACTCACCCACATCAGCAGGAGCCGAAGTCTCTCTCGGAGAGAAAACCTATCAAGCCCTGAGCAAATAATGCTAATGTACAGATCACCTCCATAAGTAAGAAAGTGAGTTCAACCAAACCAACAGAAATGGTAAGAGCTGAACCTGCCTGGGGTGGGGGGGGAAGCCCCCAAATGACCTTTGCTAGGGGTTCAACAACACCATTTAGCATAGGGAGTAAAAAAGTCTATATTGTTAAATATGGACAGTTTATAATTTCATGCGTAAATTACCATAGTTTGGAATATAATCAGACGTTGAAAGACAGCAAATGTAGAAGGAGAGACTATTATCTTCAGCAGTAGCAAAAACTGAAGATACCGATCTGTATTTGTTGATCATTCTTCCCAATTTTATAAAAATGTTCCTTACGATTAATAAAAAATTCTACAGATTCGAACATGACCAAATAGAACATACTGCTGTCATATGACACACAACTGAAAATGACAACTGCCTCAGGAAACCGAGACACTGTGATGCCTTAATGCGTCACCCTAACGCCAACGTCCAGGTCACTACCGAACGTCTGTCCCTCCGGCATCTGCAGCATGCCCCATGCATCAGCGGTTGCTAGTCCCCGCTCCAGAAGGCCACGGCTGAATCACATAAAGTCTAAAACCCTGTAGTTTGGAAACTATCTAGGAGCCCAAGTTTTCAGGCTTCTAAAAACTTTCTTTTTCATTTTTTTTCTTTACTGATTTCTAGAGAGAGAGGATGGGAGAGGGAGAGAGATAGAAACATCGATGAGAGAGAACATCAACCGGCGGCCTCCTGCATGCCCCCCACTGGGGATCAGGCCCACAACCTGGGCCTGTGCCCTGACCGGGAATTGAACCGGTAACCTCTTAGTGCCTGGGTCGAAGCTCAACCACTGAGCCACACTGGCCAGGCTGAAAACTGTTTTTGTAGTCATTAGTCTGGGGCTGGAATCTGCCATACAGGACCCGTAGGAATTCATCAGAGCTCTCTATAGAGAGCTCCTCGCAGCCAGCGTCAGGTTCTCTATCATCCTCAGCATCCTGGACAAATGTCAGGAGTTCGGAGGACATTGTTCATCAGCTGTGCTTGTCGATTATTTCTGAATCTTTATGTTCACGAATGTCTACAGTACCCAAAGATGAAAGGGTAGAGCTATGGGCGGTAGAAGACACTGAACTCGTCTAAGGCAGGTGAGAGGCTTAGTGAGACAACACCAGAAGGTATTTTAAGCCAAATAGAAAAAAATATATAATCTAACACTGTGGTTCCCAAAAGTTATTTTCCCGTAATCTCTTTTGGAATCAGACTAAATTCTAGAGATCATCCCCACTTTCCTATCATTATTTACAAGCTAAGTGACCCATTTTCAGTGTAATGCTTATTGTAAATAATTGTTATTTGAACAATTCAAATAATTATGAATAAATTTAAGTAATTCTTTGCTGTATGTTTCCCCCCTTTCTATGCATTTTCATCCTTTTCTACTAGAAAAAATTCTTGCTAATCAGAATTTTCAGAAAATTTCTTCTAATTTCTGTGCCTTTCTCTACTTCTCAAGATCTTAACAGACAGCCCTGGATGGTTTGGCTCAGCGGTTAGAGTGTTGGCCCGCAGACCAATGAGTCACAGGTTCAATTCTGGTCAAGAGCTTGAACCTCGGTTGTGGTTAGTTCCCGGCTCTGATCAGGATCGTGTGGGAGGCAACAGTCAATGCGTCTCTCTCACATCGATGTTTCTCTTTTCCTCTCTCTATCTCCCTCCCACTCTCTCTGAAGAAAAGTGGAAAAATATCCTTGGGTGAGGATAAAAAAAAAAAGATCTCAACAGACATATATGAAGGATCCTTCCAGTAAGTAAGATTACTTAGAACTCAGAGCTAAAATAAAATCGTGTTTGAGTTCACCCCGGAGCACAGGCAGATGTGATGGAGGATGCTGTTTGACCGGGCATGCTCCATATCGGTAAAATGTGGACATCAATTTATTTTTAAAAATAGCCAGTGACTTTTCACAAAAATATTCTAAGAAGTTTACACGTCAATGGCACTATATTTAGTCTTTAAATGGAACCCCACAGAGATACTCTGAACACAGTATTTCATAACTTCTTCTATCTACAGTATCTTACCAGTTCTCACAAGATGAGGTTAGAAAACATATTTCCTAATTTTGTTCACTGAGAAGTCCTAGAAGCAATTACTTCGGAAACTATGAGCACACCTAGCATCCCCATCTTGGGTTCTAAATACCATTCCTTATACACAAAGGAGTTTCATCTGGCTCTTTGGAGAAATGGCTGGATCAGGCCTTGGGTGAGGAAATTCTGAGTTAAGCCAGAAGCATCTTGTTTGGCCAGAAAGCAACATGTTCAAAGATTTTGGAGGACAAAAAAATTTTTTTTAAAAGAACACAGAAGGGACTGGTCTGAAGGGGACCCTGTTGGCAAAATTTGGGACAATTTGAGCGTACAGAAGAATTATGTAGGTAATTAATTATTACCCATTGAACGTAAATAAAAGAAGCCATAAACAAAAATGAATACTTTCAAAACAGAAATGGAAAAAGAGAAAGGAAGGAAGGGAGAAAGGGAATAAGGAAGAAAAAAATGGAAGAGAAAAAGTTCTTTACAGAAAAAGTGTCACCCAACAGATGCAGACAGAATGACTGGATTAGGAAATCACTGTGGTGCAACCACCCACGGGTGGTGCTGTGAGGCATTTATCTTGTTCTCTTGACAACTAAATGTCATGAAAGAACGAGGTAGGGCTATTCTAGATGAAAGAAGATTGCAGAGACAAGTAGAGGCAGTGCATGACTCTTGTTTTGACACTGGATTTTTAAAAAGGCTGCAGAGGAAATTACTGGAGATAATGGAAAAATATGAAAAAAAAGATTATCAGATAGTATTGTTTCAAGGATAAATTTTTCAGGTCTGTACTGTGCTCATGTAGTTCATCTTAGTTCTTAGGAGATAAATGCTTAGGGATGACGTGTCTTCATGTCTCCAACTTACTTTGAAAGAATTCATCAAATGTGCAAGTGGAAGAGATGTGTGTTGGCATGCCGGAGTGTGCACAGCCAGCCAGGAGCTGACGCAGCAATGCAGCTCCTGTCCTGTAATGCAACAATGTAGCAATGGTCACGACAGACACCTGCACGGGAAGAGCGTGTGGTGGCCCAGGTGCCAGCCACTACCTTTCCAGCTTTCTGTAATTATTAACACTTTCAAATTTTAAAATTGGGGGAAATCAAGACCTAAACTATTGGTTTGGAAAACTGGGTTAATCATTATATGGATCTCAGAAGATAATAAGGATTAAATGAGCCAGTACACTGAAGTAAGGTGGTCAAGTTACCAATAAATGTGAAGTGAAAAAAACACCCCCAATCAAAAAGATCCTTTTTTTTTTCTTTTTTGTAGTTTTCATTTAAGGTTTGTGGCAGTAGGAAGTGAAAATATAAAAATACCCTTTAGAGAAGATCCCCATTATTCTGGATGATGACTTAGATGGACCTTTTTGTCACATACATAAAAATGAAAACCTACCCTTAGATCTTGGATAAAACAAAAACGTCCATAAAAATAAAATCTAATGATGAAGATGAACTTGTTTAATCTTAGGAATGCAAATCAAGCCCCTCTTAAGCCAACCTGAGACCTCTGACCTACTAGATAAAACGTCCTTCTTTAAATAAGGATTTAGACAGCTTTTGTTGGCGTATATCTCTACATGGTATTATTGAGACTGAATTACTCAGAACTTGGAACAGCTAATTCCCAGTGGGGACGAGGGGTCCGCTGGAGGAAATGGGGTGCAAAGTCTGCCTCTGCTGTCTGTACGGGGGAGCTGATAGTACTGCAGAGTCTCCTTCAGCCAGCCCCCATCCAACAGAAGTGTCCACGAGATATTCCGAATCCAGCTGAGGACAGGAAGCCATGGCCCAAGAAGAACTCTTCATTTTAGACTTCTAAGAGTCACTCCCTCCTGCAGCCATATCCAGTGAAGCTTTGCTCAGCACCATGGCCTGAGCGTGGCTCTCCTGGGCTGTAGGGTGGAGGGAGGAGACCTGTAGTGAGCGAGTCAGCACACAGACAGGGCGCCTGGCGGAGGCCATCGGCCAGGCACGTGGCAGGGAGCAGGTGTCATCCTGACATCAGAACAGTAGGGGAGGACCAACAGAACAGAGGGACTCTGGCAGGTGGGCACGCAGCAGGGACTCTGGAAGGAGGAGTGCCGTGCCATGGCAGGTCACTGATGAATGGTTATCCTTAAATTAAATTAGCCTGATTAATCAGCATTGAATTTAATTACTAATACTTTCTTCAAGTGATCATACCAATTTTTAGCTTTTTTTTTTTCAATCCTCACCCGGAAACATTTTTACATTTATATTCTGATAGAGCAGGAGGGAGAGAGGGGGAAAGAGAGAGAGAGAAACATTGATGTGAGAGAGACACATCAACTGGTTGCCACCCACATGACTCCAACCAGGGCCGGGGACAAACTGCAACCAAGATACGTGCCCTTAGCGGGAACCGAACCAGGGTCTCTCCAGACCGCGGGCTGACACTAACCGCTGAGCCAGGTCGGCCAGGGCAATTTTTAGCTCTTTTATTTGTTTGTTTGTTTGTTTTTTATCCTCACCCGAGGACATTTTTCCATTTTTTGTTCAGGTACGAGTGGGAGGGAGAGAGAGGAACAGAGAGAGAGAGAGAAACATCGATGTGAAAGGAACACATCGAGTGGCTGCCACCCGCACAACCAACCAGGGCCGGGGACAAACTGCAGCCAATTTTTAGCTCTTTTAAAAACTAGGATTAAAAAGAGAAATGTTCATAACAAAAACAAAACCAAACAACTAGATTTAAAAATAGGCAAAGGACTGAAATAGGCATTTCTCCAAAGAAAACATACAAATGGCCAATAAGCACATGAAAAGATGTTCAACATGACTAATCATTATGAAAACACAAATCAAAACCTAAATGAAATACCATTTCACATTCATTAGGATGGCTACTATAAAAACATTGAGAAAATAAGTTTTGGTGAGGACATGAATTGGAACCCTTGTGCACTGTTGGTGGGCATGTAAAATGGTACAGCCACTATGGAAAACAGTATGGTAGTTCTTTTAAGAATTAAAAATAGAACTGCCATATGATCTAGTAGTTCCATTGTGGGTATATATCGACAAAACTAAAAGTAGGGACGTAGAGGTATCTATATGCCCTCTGTTCATAGAAGCATATTTGCAACAGTCAAAAGACAGAAGCAGCCCAAGTGTCTATCTACAAATGAATAAACAGAATGTGATATATACATTCAATGGAATATCATTCAGCCTTGAAAAGGAAGGAAATGCTGGTTCATGCTCTAATGTAGATGAACTCTGAAGACATTATGCTAAGTGAAATAAGCCATCCACAAAAAGACAATTACTGAATGATTCTATTTATAAGAAGCTCTTAGAATACTTAAATACAAAGGGGCTGGGGCAGTGGGGACTGGAGAGTCACTGTTTAATGGATATGGGGCTTCAGTCTGGGAAGATAAAGAAGTTATGGAGCCCTGACCAGTTTGGCTCAGAGGTTAGAGCGTCGGCCTGCGGTCCAGAGAGACCCGGGTTCAGTTCCCGCTAAGGGCATGTACCTCGGCTGCAGTTTGTCCCCAGCCCTGGTTGGGTCGTGCAGGTGGCAGCCACTCGATGTGTACCTTTCATGTCGATGTTTCTCTCTCTGTCTCTCCCTCCCACTCTATCTGAACAAAAAATGGAAAAATGTCCTCGGGTGAGGATTAAAAAAAAAAAAAGTGAAAAAAAAAAGAAGTTATGGAGATGGTTGGTGGTGGTGGTTGTACAACAAAGTGAATGTACTTAATGCCACTAACTGTATACTTAAAAATGGTTAAAATAGTAAATTTTATATTATGTCTATTTTTACACACACACACACGCAGTACTCACGGATTCCAGCCCAGATCTTGTGGGTTCACATACAGAATTCCCGCTCTGGAAACAGTGGCCGGGGTTGCTGTCCTTAAGTGGTGGGTCTCAAAGAGCAGCCGCATGGAGGGAGTAAGGGCTATGCGCTCGTTGCTGGCCAAGGTCAGCACCTGGACAGAGCAGCACAGCACACAGGGACCCTGTCATTCCGGAGCAGAGCATCCCTGCCAACTCACCACAATACCACAGAGTACTGTCCCCGCAGAAGTGTCCAAGGCTATGAGCTCCCTGTTCCGAGTTAGAAGTTCTACAGTCCGAACAAAGATCTCAAAGATCTCAATGTATTCTAGAAGGGAGCTCACTGACCCTTGAGGAACAAACTCACCAACGTGGATTTACTGATGCCAACCTTTAAATAACTGTGGTTAATTATTACTAAATATAAGATATTTGTTTGAAGAGTTGATCACATGAAAAGGCCTGAACAAAACAAAAATAAACTTTCTTTACAATCAGAAATACTACCGTTATCGATTTTCCTATAGAAACTCACGCAAGTATAAAGATCTCAGACCTATATTTTATGGTAAACAATGCCTTAGTTCATGAAGCAGTAATTACTGTTCATTTAAGGGGGTAACTAATTCTGTTCTATAGTGATCATGATTTCTGATTTCTTTCTCCTGACCCTAACAATAGACCTGGTGTTGCTTAAGTGGTACCTCACAGACCTGTACCATCACCCTTGGGTTTTGCTGGCATGCTGGAGTAACCATGGCAAAATGCTGAGGAATGCATTTATACTCCAGTAGCCATAGGAACTGCTTGATTTCAAACTTGTCCTTTATTATCCACATATTCCGTCCTCAACCAAAGATAAGATGTAATAATTTCTGCATAGCTCTTTGAAAACGGTACAAGGTATGTGAGCTGAATTCTTGGATACATGTCTCCTTTTAAAGACGGTTAAGCCCTGGCCAGTTTGGCTCAGCGGTTAGAGCGTCAGCCTGCGGTCCAGAGGGACCCGGGTTTGGTTCCTGGTAAGGGCACGTACTTCGGTTGCAGTTTGTCCCCGACCCTGGTTGGGTCGTGTGGGTGGCAGCCACTCGATGTGCCCTATTCACGTCGATGTTTCTCTCTCTCCTTCTTCCTCTCTTCCTCCCACTCTATCTGAACAAAAAAATGGAAAATGTCCTTTGGTGAGGATAAAAAAAAAAAAAAGTTAAAGACGATTAAATTTATACAGACACCAAAATATATATATATATATATATATATATATATATATATATATATATATTCACTTACATTTTTAACTGTGAAATTAAGAGAATTAGCAGGAAAGTGCCACACATCAAAAGAGTAACTACATAATGAACATCAGGCTAAGGATTAAAAACTAGGACTAAAATCGACAAGTGAACTCTTAACACACTCTAGGTGTTATGTTCAAGGTTCAGCTCTGAGGCATTACTCACCTTGTTGTCATCCATGAGAGTATTTAGTGATTCAATCCACATGGGATCAATATCGCCATCCAGGACTATCCATTTTGGTCCATCATGAATAAGATTTGCTTGTTCTCGCAGAATGGACGAGAAGAGACCTATAAATTAAGAGCAAACAATCTTACACAATGGAGTTGAGTGCTGTTTATGTCTAAGATAAATGTGTATTTATTTTTTCTGGTGGAAGCTCTTTTAGTAAGTAAACAGACTTGCTGTCAATGCCCTGCCTCTCTCTGCTTGGCAATGGGTAATGCCTTCCCCCAGCCCAGGCTCTGCACCCAAGGGCCAGCTTCGCTTCCATCGGCAGAGCCTCAGCTTCCGACAGAGCTTCCATTACCAATAAAGACGACAGGAACTTCCCTGGAGAACGCTGTGGGACTTCGCAAAAAGGTAGCACATGTAAAATTCAACACTTATACCAAATAAAGGCATTATCCTTCCTCATGCACATATGTTCAGTATCTATTTTTTTTTTTTATCCTCACCCGAGGACATTTTTTCCACTTTTTGTTCAGATAGAACGGGAGGGAGAGAGAGAGAGAGAAACATCGATGTGAAAGGGACACATCGAGTGGCTGCCACCCGCATGACCCAACCAGGGCCGGGGACAAACTGCAACCGAGGTACGTGCCCTTAGCAGGAACTGAACCTGGGTCTCTCGGGACTGCAGGCCGACACTCTAACCGCTGAGCCAAACCGGCCAGGGCTGTTCAGTATCTATTTTAAGCCAAATGTTAGGTTATTTCACCTTCTCCATTTTTCTGTAACAACATCCAAGGGACATACTTCTAAAGCTCAAGTATTCAGAAGTGCTATATATTTCCTTGAGCTATTTGGTCATTGCCATTATATTGTTATCATTACTTTACAAGAAATATGGATAAAAACATTTTAAATCGGTAATCCTTTTTGCTGTTACTATATATCTAAGCATATGTGTGTTACATGGTGTATTTAGTAGTTGCTGATTTTTTCAAAACTCAAGTATATAAAACTGTGGTAAGAAAAAAATGGCTTAATGCACGCATGTGGAAGGTTTTGTTTTCTCTGTGAAATATTTTGTGCAAAAATAAGTGACAGCGTGTAGAACTCGCCACCATGATTCAAAAAAGCCAGCACGACTTAAATGCTTCCACAGATTTTCAGCATAATCTGATATTATGCCCTGCCTGCCATAGTCCTTAAAAAAAAAAAGAGTCAATTTTCATTGTCCCACAAATTAAGAAAAGAGTGTGTATATAAGAAAAGGATAGAGGATGGTGAGGTAGGCTTCTATACACATGATCACCAAGGAAGTCTGATGTGACATCTGACCAGACACTTCAATAAGGAAGGGAGGAGGGAGGCCAGAGTTTATGGATTACATACAGCAGGTGAAGGGCAGAGTGTAGGAAATGAGGTCAGAGATGAGGTAGGAGAATCTAGTCACATAAGAACTGAGGCTGATTTGACCCAGTGATCCCACTTCTAGGAATATACCCTAAGAAGCCTGAAACACCAATCAGAAAGAATATATGTACCCCCATGTTCATAGCAGCACTATTTACAATAGCTAAGATCTGGAAACAGCCCATATGTCCATCAGTAGATGAAGGGATAAAAAATCTGTGGTACATATACACAATGGAGTACTATGCAGCTATATGAAAGTAAAATCTCTTGTCCTTTGAGATGACATGGAGGGACCTGGAAAGTATTATCCTAAGCGAAACAGGCCAAACAGAGAAAGACAAGTATCATATGATCTCACTTATTTGTGGAATATGATGAACATAACAGTCTGAGGAATGGGATAGTCTCAGAGACGTGGAAGTGGGGTACAGACTGACAATCCCCAGAAGAGAGGGTGGTGGGGGAGAGATAAACCACAGAACTTATATGCATGTGTGCATGAACAATGGACATGGACAACAAAGCTGGGGACAGGGTGGGGAGGGGAATCAGTTGGGGGGGAAAGGAGAAACATCTGTAACAAAAATCAATAAATCAATCAAAAAAGAACTGAGGCTGTGAATAAAGGTTGGATTCTAAGGATGATGGAACCCACTGGAAATGGCAAGCAGAGACCTAACATCTTGAAGAGCGCCCTCTGTCTGCTCTATGGAAAATAAACTGCAGGGAGACCAGTTGGCCTATGCGGTAGCTGCAGAGAAGTACTGGAATACAGTGTGTATTTAAAATGTAAAGCCTATAGGACTTGCAATAAAGTCGAAGGTAGGGTGTGGAAGGGGAAAAGGACTCAGGATGATACCAAGGATAGTGCCTTTAATGAAATGAGAAGTAATAATAACAGATTTTAATAAAGGACTCTGCTTGTCTTCAAATACTTTAAAGGTAAGAAACATGTCCCATTGACTGTTGTCCCTGGTGCCTAGCCCAGTGCCTGCCTGAAACTCAGTCTGTGTCTTACATCAGGTACTTTATAAACGTGCCCTGAGGCATTCAGGCTGACTTCTTTCCTGGTTCACACCAGCCCTGAAATAACTCATGTGGGATAAAATACACAGCAGCTCTGAGCACAAACCTGAATGAAAATCGACCACTTATTCAAAACTAGCTTTAATTTACAGGTTATAATTGCTGTTGTGAGCCGTTGTATTTCCAGTAATGCCGACACACCAACAGCACATCTACAACTACGCCTAACATTGGCTTGAACTGAGAAACGGTTTTCTGGATAAAAATGAGAAATATTTAGCACTTCGGAAGGAGAAAAACCACTTGCCATCTTTCCATTCTCGGGTAGCGTGATGCATGAAACCAAAGAGTTCATCTGTTGTCACAGCTTTAGGGTTTAAGTCATTCCAAATGGGTTTTCGTTGCATGTTAACATATGTTCGGTTCAGTGTTCTCAAAATCTGAAGGGAAGAAGAACAAGAAAAAAAGCTAAGCAAATTAAGACTAATGTAAACCAAATGGAAAGTAAAATATTTTGAAGGATTTTCCTTATTGATTATACGCTCCTAGATATTGTGTGTATTAAGGTTGAGAACGGGAAAAAACGTACATGTGTACATTTTCATTGCCACCTTGAACAATTTAATCCTGCAATCCCATAGGGTCAGCTCACCTGATTCTCTGAACAGTGTAGACTAGAGAAAGTCACTCCATCATCTGAGATATTTAACCACACGGGCGAAGCGGAGGACTCGATGCCAGTAAGGGTTCCTGTTCGTGCTATTAAAATCCACTCTGCCTGCATTATTTAGATTGTGCCCCAAATTTAGCATGCATCACATTTAGCTGGACCCGATCACAAGTTTCTGATTCAGCAGGTCTGGGGTGGGACCGATGAGCTGCATTTCTAATAAGGTCCCAGGCAATGCCTGTGATGCTGGTCCAGATGTGCTTTGAGATCTAGTGAGTGACCTGGGGCAACAGTTCTCAATAGCAGACTCTCTTGACTTGAAGGGAGAGGGTGTGCGACTGGGCATGTAGTGGTCAGAGGCCGGGATGCTGCTGAACATCCTGCAATGCACAGGACGGGCCTGACGACAGAACGTCAACAGTGCTGAGGCTGAGAAACCCCGATCCAGATCAGGAGGAAAAGCAGCCCTGCGTATAAGAATTCACAGGATAGCCCTGGTCGGTTGGCTCAGCGGTTAGAGTGTCGGCCTGCGGTCCTGAGAGACCCGGGTTCGGTTCCTGCTAGGGGCGTGTACCTCGGTTGCAGTTTGTCCCCGGCCCTGGTTGGGTCATGCAGGTGGCAGCCACTCGATGTATCCCTTTCACATCGATGTTTCTCTCTCTCTCTCTGTTCCTCCCCCCCCTCCTCCCCCCCGACTCAACCTGAACAAAAAAAAAAAAAAAAAAAGAATTCACAGGATAGGTGCTTAATATATGTCTGTTTAATTAATTGGCAGCTTAACCCAAATATCATTTTTGCTTTCTCCAAAAAGCCATGGGTTTTATTTTAGATAGTTATCACCCTGATCTTCTCACAGGGGTTCGAAGTACTGATAAACAATTGCCAAATGCTTTGGACTAATAAGGTGTTAAATAACATGGCCCTGAGCTTTGGTGCTCTAGTTACATCAGCTTTAGTGAAGGCTGATTAGAACTGAATCCGTGAAGACTAGATGAAAGCAACTGAATGCCATGGGAATAAACTGACATTTTTAGAAACCGTGAATCTACTGAAAATTACAGAATTTAATTTTTCCCTCCTGAAACCTGAAACTTACTCAACAAAATAATTACAGGTCTTTCAGTTATCAACTTTAATATTTTAATTATTACATTTTTCACTAGAAAGATTCCTACACAGGACCTCCCTTTACATACCCATGCTCTCAAGTCTCATGCCCACTCTGATAATCTTTAGTCATTGGCTACTAACCATATTTATACCCAAGCAGCCTGGATTAAAATACATGCATTTCTGCACATAGTCTGCCAACCAAAAATACAGGCATGTTACCAGGACTGTCAGTAAGATCAAGCAAAATCAAGCAGTGAATTAAAAATGGGGATAATAATACCCACGGCATGTCACCACTGCACAGAGTAAATCACATTAATGCACCTAATAGGTACCTCGTGATGGGCATAACAGGTACCTCAAAAAATGTGGTTTTTGCTCCCTTTATTCCCCAAGTTTTTTTCTGGCCCTCTAGAGCTCTATATTCTGAGAGACTATTAAAGAAAAATATTGGGTTTTTTTTAATGATATAAGGAGAAAGGAAAACCTAGGATGACTTGGTAAATAACAAAGTAGTTTTGATAAATACGGGTAGGGCCCACTGAATACAACCCAGGCATTTTACTCTGTATAATTCAGGCAGAATTATATTATTGAAAGATGCATAAAATAGGATGGCACACGTCTAAATGAATGAGTAGGATGCTGCGTAGCTCGCGTGGAAAGCCCGATGTCACGTTCTATTTGTCACTCTCCCCCAGTCCCCAGTAGAGAGGAAAATAGTGTCAACTGATCAGATTCTAATTCAGAATTATGATGGACTTCACCGAAGGGAACTCTTAAACAGAACTGAAAATAGGCAATGAATGAATGAGTGAATGAATGAATGAATGAGTGAATGAATGAATGCTCCTTCCTAGGTTGAAAGCTAACAGGCCGTTGACCCTACCTCGCTCTTGCCCGTGCCCGCGTTTCCCACCACGAAGACGGAGTGCCGCACGGCCAGGAGCTCCTCCAGCTGGACGACCTGCAGACAACGCAGCCAGTCAGCGGCCTTCAGGAGTGTGTGGTTGCGAACAATCACACACACACACACACACACACACACACACTCTCTCTCTCTCTCTCTCTCTCTCTCTCTACCATTTTTGCCCACCTCTTTCCTTACAATCCAAGCCAACCCCCACTACCAACATGACACAAGGTGGGGCAAAAGTAGGTTCACAGTTGGGAGTGTGCAAAACAGAGTTTATGCTTGTATTATTTTCTTTCTTAATTATTGTATTATTTTTCCATGTGAACCACTGTAAACCTACTTTCACACCACCCAGTATTCTGGGAAACTTAAAATGCAGGACAAGGGCAAAGTACAGCTTCTCCCGGGCCTCCCAACATGGGACACAGGAGTGCAAATGAAGACAGTTGTCACTCAGTGAGCCTCTGACACAGGCAGAGGTGAGGAACAGAGGACTGGGTAGAGGGCAGTCACTCAGTCACTTGCAAAATCAGTGACTTCATGAAATATGGAACAAAACAGTGCACGGCCAATGCTGTCTCCCTCTGAGTGATGCCTTATATCCTCGGAGACATCTAAGACAGACACTCTGCGTGACCTTTAACGTCCATGTGTTCACTACACCCACGAGCACACATATGCACATGTCTTTAAGGGTCAGAGGATGCCATACGTGTAGGCATTTCTCTCCATTAAAATACGTACTACTGTCATGGCCGGTTTCACTCCACAGTCAGAACATTGGCCCGCGGACCAAAGAGTCGTGGGTTTGATTCTAGTCAAGGGCACGTACCTTGGTTGTAGTTCGTCCCCAGCCCTGGTTGGGGTCATGCGGGAGGCAGCCAATCAATGTGTCTCTCTCACATCAATGTTTCTCTCTCTCTGTCTCTTTCCCACTCTATCTGAAGATAAATGGAAAAATATCCTCGGATGCGGATTAAAAAACAAAACAAAACAAAAAAACCACATACTACTGATTTTACTCCCAATTTTCTCTAAACTGGAGAGAAAAGAGCAAAATTAATTTTTGATGCACGTCACCAAGAAGAACTAAGGAGTTTCATGAATTAATATAAAGTATACTTACATTTAAAACCATGACTTAGTCATATTTCTGTCATCTTAGAGACTGGGATGACAAACTAGTTATATTTAAGTTAGTAAAGACTGCCATATTAGAGTGCTTTCAAGTATATGTTAAGATCAGTCTGGCCAGTGTGGCTCAGTGGTTGAGCGTCAACCCATGCACCAAGAGGTCGCTGGTTTGATTCCTGGTCAGGGCACATGCCCAGGTTATAGGCCCGATCCCCAGTGGGGGGCGTGCAGGAGACAGCCAATCGATGCTCTCTCATATCGATGTTTCTATCTCTCTCTCCCTTCCTCTCTCTCTAAAATCAATAAAGGGGGAAAAAGTATGTTAAGATCATACTAAGGTTAGTGTAATATGTATGTTGAAGTCTTGGCTCAGTGTCACCTAAGGTCAGTTAGTGTCACTGCACACTCCAAGGGCTCTGTGACAAGTACATGCTCCCTTTACTTTGAGGATGAAGCTCTCCTCGGGCTGCAGGCGGAGCTCCAGGGTGGACTGCCGGACCATCTGCTCCAAGAGCGGTGCCCTCCTCCGGGGCACGTCCAGGGCTGGAAACAGGTCACCAACCAGGCCCAGGAACACAGGGATGTCGTCGGTCACTATTTTAGGCATGTTGAAGTCCCTTAATGCTCTCATGAGTACCTAAAAAAGAGAATAGAAGACACTTTGTAAAAAAAAAACCCACAATATGACGTCTAACAAATACCTAAGCAGCTGAAGATGTTGTTGTTAATTCTTATATCTAAAGCATGAGAATCAAGACCATTCTCGATTAGGAGGGCATTCCATCTGCAGGTTAACTGCTGGCAACGTCACAGATCAGAACATGAGAAGTCTCTGCCGACATCATGGACAACCTCAGATTACAGTCATCAAGGAGGTTCTGTTCTGTCCCACCAATGACCTGCTCTGATCCTGAGAAAGGGTCTGGGCCCTCTAATCCTTATGCCTCAAACTCCAGGATATAAATGAACCAGGCCCAGCAGATCATCTTGTTCAAAGTACTCTGGGAATCTCAGAAGAATAAACTCAACCATTTTCAGTTTGAGTTTTTCCTATATTGGCTGAAAACCAAAGAGGGCTTTCGATTTTAAAAGCAGTTAACTTGAACAGCGGGATGATGCGTCCAGAAAGAGGTGAGCATTTTATTTTTATTTTTATTTTTTTTATCCTCACCCGAGGACATTTTTTGATATTTTGTTCATATAGAGGGAAGGAGGGAGGGAGAGAGAGAGAGAGAGAGAGAGAGAGAGAGAGAAACATCGACGTGAAAGGGACACATCGAGTGGTTGCCACCTGCACAACCCAACCAGGGCCAGGGACAAACTGCAACCAAGGTACGTGCCCTTAGTGGGAACCGAACCCGGGTCTCTCCCGACCGCAGGCTGACGCTCTAACCGCTGAGCCAAACCAGCCAGGGTAAGGTGAGCATTTTAACAAGAACAGTGACACAGCAGGAGAACAAATGTCCCCATCATGGATCGTGACTGGGCAGGAGAGAGAGGGCAAAAAAGAATGTAGAAAAGTCACATAATAAATATCCTGTCACATAAAATACTCGTAGGATAGATCTACTTTTTTCAACTTCTCAAGTCATAACGCATGTATACTTAGTGCTGCATATCCATTACTCTTGCTTCTGATTATTAAAGGAAAGTGGGTATGTGGCTATTACTGTTTCTTCCTAAGACAGACAATGTCCCAGAAGCTCTGAATAACCAACGAAGTATTTCACTGGTGTCGGGTGATCAATCCTGTTCCATTCTTCATGTCCATCTCGTACCCTATGAAACGGCTCACTTCTTTCATTAGATTATGTCTTCACTGACTTCTTCAGGATTAATATCCCAGGATTAATCAGATTTTCTACACGTTCCTCAGAGGAAATCAAACAGTGATTACTGAATTATTTGATTATGACTGCCAAAATATTGTTTGTAGCTGACATTTCAAAAGCACTTATAAAATAACATTTTCTTTCCTACGCCCATCTCCTTTTACTAAAAAAAAAAAAATACTTGCGATCTTTTATAACATCAGAAATGTCAGTCCTCAAGATATCCTACCTTAAAAATAGATGCTACGTTTTTTAAAGGGCATGCTACACATGCCCCCCCCCGGTCCAGGTACACACTTTCATTGTGTGAAGGCGTGTCACTACTCACTCAACGAAGTCGCATTAGTACTGCATTACCTGGTCTTCGGGTCTGTTTTTGTCTCCTCGTTTCAGGGAGCCAGCTACAACCAACACAGATTTAATAGCCCGGAGTCCCCAGTCATAATGATCCTAAAATCAAAACACAGGCAAATTTTCTAAAACAGTGTATGAGGGAGTAAGGGTCTCCTTCCAGAAGTAAAAGCTGAAAGAGTTCAGATAAAGATATACTTTGATGATGGGAAGTAATATTTCCTTCTCCTCTTTCAAACAGTGAAAATCATGTCCCTTCAGCTTCTTCCTGCTTCTTGCACCTGATTCTCTGCCTCTGTCAGCAAATTTCTTCTTCCCATAGCATTCCGCTGCAGCACGGGCCGAGGCTCCGTCCACACCCCCTGCCCTTCTCTCAACAACCCTGCTAACTCCGCAGTTCGCCCATGCCCGTGTTTCCACCCCCACCCACAAGCACATTTCTGCAGTCTCGCAGACAGCCTTGCTGGCCCCTCCCCCAGGCGAGGTCTCCAACTGCCCTAAATGTTCTACCTCCTACTCCCCCCAGTGCTCTGCCCTGGGGTGTCACTCAGTAGGCACAACCACATTCAATGAAATCCCGTTAAAACCCGTGCCTCTCTGAGCCCTCCCCATTCCCCCCAAGGAAGACTCACTCTCCTCACAGGCTCTGAGCTCCTGGAGAACAGAGGGGGTCTTTTACTCCCGTTTGTCTTCCAGGTCCTAGCACGGTGCCCCGCACAGGGCAGGTGGTCAGTGAAGGTCAAAGAATGAACTGACTGATTATACACAGCTGGCCTTCTCCCTGCCTCCCCGCTGCAATCCGCACAGTAACAACACTTCTCTCAACTGTCCCTCAGCTGTGCCTGTGGGGAGCAACCTCTCCAAGCCTAGTGTCACCATCTGTAAACAGGCAGAGAAAAGGATCTACCCACTTGACGAGGTCGTTGTCGAGTAAGATGAGTTAATGCTTTGTGGCCAGCGAAACAATATATACATGTATAAAAATACGCCCTGCAATCCACTCGTGGAGAACAGAGTCAGTGGAGTGGGTCTCGGCCATCATTTTTGTCGGTTATAAAACAAAACAGAACGGAATAAAGAATACCAGAGTGCACTGAAAATAACAACGAAGTGTTCAGTGGAAGTTTCTGTTTCAGTTGTGCACACGTGTGTGCATATCGAGCCTCCACTGAAAAAGCCGTTTTTCCTGTGGGTCATGGTCAAAGTCATTGGAAAGCCACTGATGTGGAACTAGACTGAGGCTTGAAGAGGGAAGTAGAGGGGAAGAAGCAGACTTTGGAGGTCAGGGAGACTGGGGAGGGGGCTAGGTCAGTGAAGTAACAATATTAGTGAAGAGACTATAGAAGAAATTATGCATGCAGACTTAAGGAGATTTGGTGACTCTCCTAGACATTTAAACATTGCAAACAACAGCTAACAAAATCTTCATCATTGTCATTATGCTATTTTTTTTTAAAATCAAAAATATCCACTGATCCTGTTGCAATCCACCCCTACAGCTTAGAAAATGATCAGTGAACTCTGCTCCTAACTGAGTAGTTCTGTCCTGGCCAGCTTTGCCCCTTCGTCTCATCCATGACATTGCCCTGAGGGGGGAATCTCTCCCTGCCTGTCCTACCTTCCCTCCCAACATCTTCCTCTTGTACTTGGCTACGGGTGTCCTGGAGAAGATTCTAAAAACTAAACTCTAATCTTGCTCCCACCACTGGGAAGCCGTGGACTTTACACAGGTTATTACTTGACTCCATTTCCTCTTCTGTAAAATGGAGTGAATGATACCAAATTCATAGACTTCCTGTAACGATTTAAAAAGATAACACATGGTACCTATTCAGTAAATACTGGTTCCTTTCTTCCTTGGAGCTTTGAAAATTGTCTCACCTCCACTATATTCCAATTTTTATTTCATATAAACTGCCTCTCCCAAGTAAGCTCTTCAAAGTCATAAATCTGAGTGTTTCATTTTTTTCGGTCTTACTCCCTTCATTATTGTCAAAATAAACACATTACTGGGCTACAGTAGATCCTCACTGAATATTTAAATATCATCTCCATATTTCCTGAGACCAAGGACATTTATTTCTTCTGACTTTTTCCCCTGATAAAATTAAAATGGGCTCACTGAACAAAAAGTTTTACAAACAAGAACAAGGAGGAGAATCAAAAATACTCACAATCTTACTATCCCGAAACAAATGTTAAAAACACAAATCTTTCCCAGTTATGCTATATGTATATGAAACACACAGTATAATTATAGATTGCATCTACCGTTTGGTATGCTGGGTGTTTTTTTCTTCATATAACATTGTCATAAACATTTTTCCATATTATTAAACTTAGTATAATTTCCCCCCAGAATGTAAACTAACAGTTATGAAAATGATAACATGAATTTCTCAGATGCTAAATCTCACCAATACTTTCATCCTGGCACAGGCACAAAATAATGTCACCGGGAATTAATGAACGGGCAAAGGACCGAAGCCAAAGGTGGCCAAAAAGCTGAGTTTCAAAATAATGATGCTGATACATGTGTAATTTTGGGGCATATCAGCAACTTCAGTGAAACTACAAGGAGCTGATGACTAGAGAATAGAAAATAATTATGTCTGACCCATTTCAGAGACCAGGGAACTGTAGAACAAAAGTTCAAAGAAAAAAAGCAAACTCTACTTTTAAATAAAGAATGACCAACAAATGAGAAAATTCCAATGGAACCTTTCTTGAGGTGTTCTCGGGAAGTCAGTTTCACCTCCCGTGGACACTCCCGTGGACATTCTTGCCTTCTCTCACTAGGAAATAATCATCTCACCAGCATGGGGAGGCATCATGTAATTCCACGTATAATTATCACATTGGTCAAGTTTAAAGAAAATCATATAGCTGCTGACAAAAACTGTATTAAGTACAAATTAAACATGAGACTTAAAATGTCTCATTTAATTTCAGGAAAAAAAATTAAGAATTGTAAAATATAGGTTTTCAAAGTTTTATGGAAAATATAAATATACTTCTAAAAGTCTAACTAATTTGAAAGATAAATTACCCAGCATCCATATTTCAGAAGCCGTTTTATTTATTTATTTTATCCTCACCTGAGGACATTTTCCTATTTTTCTTCAGATAGAGTGGGAGGGGGAGAGAGAGAGAGAAAGACAGAGAGAGAGAGATAGACATTGACATGAAAGGGACACATCAAGTGGCTGCCTCCCGCATGACCCCAACCAGGTCTGGGGACAAACTGCAACCAAGGTTTGTGCCCTTGACTGGAACAGAACCCATGACTCACTGGTCCGCAGGCCGACGCTCTAACCACTGAACCAAACCGACCAGGGCTCAAAAGCTGTTTTAATGGGATGTGAAAAGAAGAAGCAGCAGCAGCCCTTCACCTGCTTGGAGAGCAGCTCCCCGCAGAGCGTGTACAGTGTGACGAACTTGCGGGCTAACGAGCGCGCGCCCACGAAACCCTCAGCCACGAGCATGATTTCACAGATCAGCTCAATGTCAGGGGCCACCATGGCACAGGGTCTGAAAAGTAAATATCAAATTAGTTTTAAAATGTGATAAGATGAACATTTATAAAAACAAGCTTTCAAATCCCCTTTCTTTTGGAGGGGCTCTTGTACAAAGACAACTGCTTTTAACAGCAACACTAGATAAAATTCCACTTAACTAAAACCAAATGCAAAGAAGGAGTTACGATAAATTAGTAAAGCTCATTATTTTAGACTTCTTAAAATATACATTCCAAATATTTATCCACCTGTTGTTGCACAGATAGTAAACAGTCTACTTCATGCATATCTCATTTTTCATCCTAAGCATTCCCCAGAGTCCCTCTGGGTCCACGTTATTGAGTACATCCATGTTACTGAATACATCCATGTTGTTGAGTATACACTTCTATCTAAGTTGGCTCCACAATCTTCCCCACATTTTTTCCTCTTTATCATAGGACAGAAGTAGTCAAGATAAAGGGCAAATAAGAGACAGAGGAAGCTAGCAAATTAGCTTAATTGATACTTGCATTGATATTGACAACTAATATTTCCTGAGCACTTTCTTCATGCATACAGGATGCCAAAAGCTTTTCATGCCCTCTCTCACTCAGTTCCCACTCATCCTCACAGCTCGGTGAGTGGCTACTCTCCTGTTCTGTGTTTCGGAGAGGTGCGGACTACGGTTCTGAGAAGCACGAGCACGTGCCCTGGGCCCGTGGTGGGTAAGTGGTGGACTCATGACACTCTCGAGGCTCATGCATAAGGACCACCCTTCGATTCGTGAGTACCGCTTTCATCACCCAAACTGTCCTCCAAACTTTGCTGATACAAGTACGTTCACCCGAACATAAATGATGCTACACTTAGTTAAACCAAATTTATGAAAACTTTACAAAACAATCTCAAATGTTAAGACTCAAATGAAAACATGTGTGAGATGAATCGGGTTATAAATGTAAACATAATGAAAAGATACACAATTTTCCAATAAAAATAGACATAAAATTACTAAGAAAGCTGCCATATGTGAAAAAAAAAAAGCATTTAATGAAGCATGTTAGAATAATTGATTATTAGGGGAAATAATTTTGTTTAAATACTCATTTCATGTTACCTACCAAAATAAGTCTTTAACAGATGAAGTACATTTAATATTGATACTATACAAATGAGAAGAAAACAAATGAAATACCTAGATGAATAAACAAGCACATCTTAAGCTTAAAAGAACAGAAAGAAATCACACTAAACACTATAGAGGTTCTTACGTTATATCTGAAGTAGCATATTATTTTCAAGGCAAACTGTGAATAAAGATGCATGTTGTGAACACTGAAGAAGTCCTAAACAATAAAACTGGTAAGTCTCTAGTTCATCGAGGAAAAAATAGGGAAAACAAAAATTACCCATATCAGACATTGACTTCAGGACATCACTACAGATAATAAGGGAATATTACGTGCCCTTGACCGGGAATCAAACCCCAGACTCTTTGGTCCTCTGGCTGATGCTCTAACCGCTGAGCAAAACTGGCCAGGGCTAAATTTTAACATCTTTAACAAAATCGTAGCATCCTGAATCTATCAATATGTATAAAAATAATATCTCCTTACCAAGTGAAGTTTATCCCAAGTGAAGTTTATCCCAGGAATGCAATATTGAATTGTTTATCATTTGAAAAAATCAATATAGTTCAGCACATTAAGAGAAAAAAGAAAACCCATATGAAAATTATAAAACAAAACTTCTAGACTCATAGCTGAAAGTTTTTGCAACCTGGGGCTAATCAAACATTCTTAACTATGATAGAAAAACACATACAACAAAATTATGAATTATATTTCATTGAATTTAAAATATCTATCTTTGATGAACACCATTAAGAACATAAAAATGGCCCTGGCCAGTTTGGCTCAGCGGTTAGAGCGTCGGCCTGCCGTCCAGAGAGACCTGGGTTTGGTTCCCGCTAAGGGCATGTACCTCGGTGGCAGTTTGTCCCTGGCCCTGGTTGGTCGTGTGGGTGGCAGCCACTCCATGTGTCCCTTTCACATCGATGTTTCTCTCTCTCTCTATTCCTCTCTTTCCCTCCCACTCTACCTGAACCAAAAAATGGAAAACTGTCCTCGGGTGAAGATAAAAAAAAGAAAAAAAAGAACATAAAAATGCAACACCAAATCGACAGAAAGACATTTGCAATACATATATTTAATAAAGAAATTGTACACAGAACACAGCACTTCACAAAAGATGATGTAAGAATGGCCAGTAAGTCACATGAAAAGATGTTCAACATCATTAGTCTTCGTAGAAAAGCAAACGAAGCCCACAATGGCAAACCACGGCACAGCTATTAGACTGGCTAAAACCAAAAAGACTGACAATACCAAGTTCTGACAAGAATGTAGAGCAAGTGCAAAAGGATACAACCATCTGACACCAGACTGGCAAATCCGAATGAAGTCAGACATACATTTGCCGTGTGACTTAGCAATTCAATTCACAGATCTTGACCCCAAAGAAAACATGTTTATACAAAGATTGTTCATAAAAGTTCAGAGCAGCCTTATTCATAATAGCCCCACACTGGAAACAACCCAAATGTCAATCTACTGGTGATGGGTAAGCACATTGTTGTATGTGCACACAAGAGAATACCAATCCGCAACACAAAGGCACAAACTACTGCTACCCTCTGACTTGGAAGAATCCCCAGACCACAATGCTGAAGGAAAGAAGATCACACAGAGGAATGTGCGCAGTATGGTTTCATGTACACGAGCTCGAGGAAACCCCAATTGAACCTGACGTCACAGAAAGCGCATCAGTGGTAGAAGTAACTTAAAGAACTCAGGAGAACTTCAGGGGTGTGGAAACATTCCATTTCTTGACTGTGGTAGAATTTTCACCAACTATACACTTAAATGGGTGCATTTTGTTGTATGAAATCATACCTGAACGAAGCTGATTTAGCATATGAGTTCAGCATAACTACTTCAAATGCAATGGCACAGGCCCTCTGACGGACGGTAGGAAGTGCGCATATTGGTTGAGTATTTTTGGAGAGGAGGTCAGCAATAGGTATTTTCATCATTCACCAAGTAATTCTAGTGGATTCTCTTAAAATTATTATTATTTTATCTTTCCAACACCATTTTCCCCCTTTATGCCCTCTTCTACCTCTGCCCAGCCTCCTTCTCCCCCCAACACCACCACACTGTGGTCCATGTCCATGAGTTCTGTCTGTTTTTTCTTTTTTGCTGTCCCCACCCCAACACTGCCCTCGCCCCCACCAGAGCTGTCTGCCTGCTCTCTGTCTATGAGTCTGTCTCTATTTCGCTTCACCAAGTAGTTCTACATGTTGGACTCTATTCTGGGTGATCATCAGAAATAAAGATAACTCTTAATGTGAAGAGAGGTTTACAGCCTGCTATGTGAGGATCATAAAAAACTGAAAAGAAAAACAGGAATCCTACTCGTCAATTGGGAATGGTTAAGAAAAGTATGAACAAGCCAGGAGAGAGACTCTTTTGGACCTTTCCAAAGGGTATTCAATACTACGATAAACTCCTTGTGTCAAAGTAGTAAATAGAACTAAATAAAAATCATGCCTAACCTACTATCTTAACTCCATAAAATACGAATTATAAATGAGACTAGAAAAAAAAATGTAGCAATCATTATTTCTGGGTAGTAAAGCTGTGGGTTTTTTTTTTCTTTATTCTTTTCTGTATTTTCCCAATATTCTATCATTTGTGAAAATTATGTTTGTAATAAAAATATCATTACAAAAGAGCTAGTATTAAATGTTCAAGTGTACCGCATGACTTAAGTAATGATTTTGAGTCTGGTTTCATATTTCAAGAGAGTCCATTTATCATGGTGAAAGTTCTCTCCATAAAGAGTGGTCCCTAAGAAAGACTAAGGGGCTCTCCACAAATTCTCAAGTCGAAACGAATCACTTCACAGTGCAAACCAGCAACGTTAGGTGGCATGAGAGCTCCAGAGGCTAACCCGCCAAGCAGAACACTTGCCTGAAGAGAGCTTTGAGATTTTCCGGTAGTTCGGTTCGACCAGCGTATCCCGGGTTCATAGTAATAAATATTCCAACCGATGCCTTCAGTGTGACAGCTTCCCCAAGAAACACAAATCTACCGTAAGAAGAACGTTGATGAAATTAAATGTGCTCACTGACTATGAATGCACACTGACAAACGCAAACCACCGACAAATGCAAACATGATTAGGAGGCTGTTTATTCTGTGCAATTTTCTTTAAAATTCATAAGCATACATATTTTGAATACGCTCTGAAGCATGTTTATTAAAAATTCACTCCATTCCCCCACAGGAATGACAAGTATAAGAAGTATTCTTTTATAGTTTAGCACAGCCACACAATGCTGGAACGTGAAAATGAGGACTTGATTACTTTAGCAGTTAATAAAAGGGGATGCCGTTTTTGCCTTCAAATGTGAGCTGTAATTCTTTGAAGGAGACACGCAGAGACAGAAGATGCCTGTGCCGAGAAGAAAGGGACTTCTTGCTCAGTTTTTACTTTGTCTATTTGCTTGTCCCCCTCTCTCCTTCTCTCCTCCTCTTTCTCTCTCCCTCCCTCCCTCCTATTATTTAACAAATATCCATTGACAAGCAGGCTGGGAGCATTCAGAGACCAGCTACATCACTTTAGGCATGTTCCAATTCCCTCATCTAATTTAAAAAAGGGATAACATCACCCACCTTATTGGATTATATGAGGATTAAAAGAGATTATGTATACAAATGGCTAAGAGTACAACGACTAGAACATGGTAAATACTCAACAGATGTTAGCTCTGACTATTGCTATTATCATCATTGAAGGCACTGGAGACGCAGTGAAACGATTTTCAGCAAGATTCGTGAAGACCCAGTGAGGCTGGCGGGTGACCAGGGCCACGGAATGGTAAAGGGCTGGATCATCCGACTGAAGGATAAGCAGAAGGAAACTGTCCCGTGATGTGAATGAGACAAAGCAGAGGCTAGAAGGCTTTTTCTTGAGGAAGGGGAGGACTGGAGTAGCTAAGGAGCTGGACCTACATCGCAGAAAGAGGAGGGAAAAGAGCCACAATTTTTAGGACGATGAGCTTCCTAGGGACCAGATAAAGAGGAGAAGATGGATTTGGGATAGTCCAGGTAAAAAGGATGATACCTTTATTTCTAGACTATCAGGCAGACAGTCCAGGGGGAGCTGCTGGTAGGGAGAAAGGTAGCCAGGGTAGCAGGCAACCGGCCGCTCACCATCAGAGCAGGAATAACCTCAAGTCCTGAGACAGCAGAGCCAGCAAGATGCTGAAGACTTTGTGGTGAAGGCATAGTCCCAACACTTAAATCCTCAAGTGTAAACAGAATTTAATACAACCACGAACCACAAAGGAACCCAGCCATCTGCGCCAGTGCGAAGATGGGCAGGTACAACTCGCACATGAGCAGACACGAAGACACAGGAAACTATTAAGTGGTATGGTGGGGAGTTTTCAGAAATCCTTGCAGGGGTGGGTCAGTTATATAAATTTCCCAAGAAAAGATGGCTTCAAATGACATCTGGGTTACATCAAATAATAAGACTTTGATGAAGAGCTCAGTCATGTATGCCTGGGGATGGGAGAAGAATGAACCAGCTTCCCTAACATGGCATTAGGGGTACAGCAGGTGAGGCAACAGCGCTCTGGGCACAGGAGCCTGGCTGGTATCCCAGAGCCATGTGGCAGAAGGACAGGGGGGGGGGTGTTCTGGAGGGTAGAAATATGCAGCTGTAAATAATGATAATAACTGGAAACTCCTACAGTAGGTTCAGTTTCAAGGGGCTAGGTAGTCTTTTCCTGATGGAGAGACTGAAATGTTCCTAGCTGAGCAAAATACTCTAATAAATGGGGGCTGAACGGGCAGGCCAGATAAATGAGACTTACGTAATGAACTGTATACCAAAAATGTTACAGTGAAAACCACAACTGTGGACTATAACAGTTATTTCTCCCAGTAAGCCATCAAACCCTGACATCTTTTATCTTTTGGGGTGTGGCATCGTGTTGAGAAGTGGTTAGGTTCTGGATATATTTGGAAATGTTTTGGCCCAAGGAACTGGGAGAAAGTGAGGATCTACTTTACTGGGATGAGGCAACTAACAAAGCAGGTATGGGTGGAAAGACCAGGATTTCGACTTTGAACCTACTGAAGACGAGAGGATTATGAGACACCAAGTGGAGTCTTGAGATGCCCCAACAGGCGTTGCCTATGTCAAGCTAGATATCGGAGGAAAGAGGTCTGGGCATCTGGTAGCCAGCAGCACGCAGATGGTACTGAAGGCCATGTGACTGGATGGAATCACCAAGGGAAGAAGTATAGATAGAGAAAGAGAAATCTAAGGATTGAGGCGTGTGGCATCCCAAATTAATAGGTCAGGAAACTATTAAAAAGTAGCTAACACCGATCCCGTGCTTACTATGCGACAAGCATCTGTCTGAGTGATTTGCCTTTAACCATCACAGTAATCTATCAGGTAGGGTGCTACACTTTCCCCTACTTTATAGATGAGAAGTAACAGCCCCAGGGGTGGGAGAAAACTGGGACGGTGTGGTGTCCTGGATCCCAGGTGAAGAACATGTGTCCCCAGAAGGGAGACACCAACTGAGTCAGATGCCGCCGGAGTTCACATAAGATCAGGATTGAGAACTGATGAGCAGATTTAGCATTCTAGAGGGTGCCTTTTAAGTGATTAAAATAACCTAATATATCTTTGCTGTATGTAATGCTTAAAACCCACTAATTAAAATGTGGGAGGCAATTCTAAATAGCTGTTCAAAATTAGCCAGTCTCTCTTCTTTTGTCCATTTCACGCGGCAGGGAGAGGCAGCAGAGAAGGTACAGTTGACTGCGTTATTTCTTTCTAGTTGTAACAATAGGGAAAAAAGCCACATGCCACTCACCTCTTCTTCCTCTCTCTGATGGCATCGTGTATCGTTTTCACTTGTACAGCCACCACGGACAGAACTTCCACAGAAATCCGATTGAACTCATCAAAGCAGCCCCAGGCTCCTGTCTGCACCAATCCCTTGTAGATGCTCCCTATGGACTGAATGATGGGGTGAGGCGTGACCAATTTAACGGAGGGGAGACTGAAGCTATTATTTCAAATCATTTCAAGTCGGGAACAACGATGTTAGAACACATCATCGCATAACTAACTTACTTTGTAGTCCATCTGCTCTGAGCAGTTGAACACATAAACCATCATGCCGAGAGCACGTCCAAGGTCTTTGGTGGTTTCGGTTTTCCCGGTACCCGCGGGGCCAGCTGGAGCCCCACCCATGGTCAGGCGAAGTGACTGAGTTAGAGTAATGTAACACCTTTAAGCAATAGAAAACACATATTACAGTCTAATAGGAGATTTCTAGAAAACACTAAGGGCAATCCAAATTGTTTTAAAGTGTAAGAAGCCAACATCTAGAATGTGGGAGTAGCACAAAATATTGACATACTTTCGATTTGCTCGTGGCTGTAATGAGAGTCAGAATAACATTTCATATTCAATTTATTCTGAGGTTGGTTGTTTAACAATAGAGAAAAATGTATTGCTTTATCTGTTTATTTGTCTCATTTCCTAAGAGCTGTGTATTTGAATACAAATAACACTTGATTTGCAATGCCACAGAATTTCTGATATTTCTAGATAAAGATACCATTAATATGGCAGACAACATCTCAAACAATTGTTTATAAAACAAATACAGAAATCTTGGACGATGAATGAATTATACATTGACTTCATTAAACTACTACTTCATGAATACATTGAAATGAGATATGTAAATATATATAAATACATAGTCTGCAAATAATATATACCTATTTCAAAGTATAAAGTAAATATACAAAGACACACGCAACTTATTATATTAAAATGTATTGTAGGAATTTATTTTTAATATGTTGCTACAAGCACTTAGATTATAATACTATTTTTTTTTTTTTTGCAAGAAAGACTCAGCAATTCTTAGACTGAGAAAAATTATGCAGAGAGATAATATAATATTTGCAAAAGAAAGAAAAGCCAACAAATAGCAAGTGCCCTGCATGGGGTTTCTACTGATTTAGAAGTTATTTTTGTCTTAGTACAGACAGCAGATCCAGTGGAAAGGCATATACAGGGAGGTCAGAAGACCAGGGACTAGTATCTACTTTGCCAATAAGCAGACAATCTTAAGTACGTTTTCTTTACATCAACCTGCCTCCGTTTTCTCCTCCATAAAATGAGGTTTATTGTAGGAAGATATTTAAAAAGCCAAAGGTAACTGTCTTAAAAGATTCAAAATACTATGCAAACAGAAACAATTACTTATAAAAATGGAAAGTTTTTCTATATTTGATGGCCATCCCATGTTTAAGAACACTTTACAATGACTATGGAGTGGAGAGCCCCTGGACCAGGAATTACAGCACTTTTTGTAGTGGAGACTATCTGCTATTAGTCTTTTCCTGGGGTTCCAAGTTTTGACTGGTCCTGTGGCCACCTATGTGCTACAGACCACATTTCCTACTGCCCATCCATCTAGGAGTGACCAGGCTCCAACCAATGTGCTATGTGCTGAAATGATGTGTGCAAATCCTAGGAAAACACCTCCTTTGAGATGTTTTCCCCTCTTCCTCTGGCTGAAACACCTGTGGAAGACATGTTTAGCATGTCCGCCACCTGCCAGGTACTGGTGGCGCCACTCCCTTCTGGAGTGCCACACAAATAAGACATTGGCTTCTGTCATATTGAAGCCATTATATTTTGGGTGCCTCTGTAACAGCAGCTGAGCCTGCACCTCCTTAGCTAACCCGCCTGTGTCCCAACTCAGGTATCTCAGTGACAAGCTGGTTGACAATCCAAGTCACTGAACTTGCCCACATATGTGAGAAGGAGGTGCCTATCTGCCCTGCCTACCACACAGAGGGAAGGTCAGCATCCAATGAGACGTGATGAAAGTGTTTGAAAGGCATCATTGTGCTCATGTCAACAATTCGTAAATAATCCACAGAATGGGATGGAAAAGAAATGTACACACCACACAATGCGAACATCATGAGCACTATTAACACTATCAAAAGGAACATTCATCTTTCATCTTCCAAATAAACCATAGTGATTTTAATTAAAAAATGAATACACTATTAGTCCTCACATATTGTTAAACTTTAAAAAGCCTCTTCCCCTTTCTCCTGCACCCTGTGTCTCCCTCCCCCCTTTCTCTATTTTCAACAGCACACATATACAGTAGACACTTGGTATCTGCAGTTTTTACTAGTCTCAAGCAACTTTGTCAAGCTACAAATTTTCTTCTCTTGCACTGAAAGCAGTATATACATTAATTATTTAATTAAGATGCCGAATACTGACTTTTAGTTAGAGACAAGTTAAAGACAACTGAATTAGAGACACAGAATCACAGAAGCCGTACAATTTATCAGTGATGAAATCATGAGCAGATTACTATGTGAAGAACAATCACAAAGCTGGAGAGAGAATTCACCAACCTCCCAGGACCACCATCACACCCCAACTTTATCGACTTCTACTGGAAACTGTCTACATACATTTTCTTCCCAAATAAGGTGCAAGGCATGGTAATACTGAATAACTGGGAACACTCCTATGATCCTGAGGCATGATTTCTCTTCCCTGGATACCAAGGATTAAATGTGCTTTCTCCCACCAAGTAATTCAGCGGAGGTGGGGATACTAACAAAGGCCTTCATGTCAGTAGGACGTATCCTTGTCTCTACAGTGTTTTAACCGTGTGTACAGATTTACTTGGAGTCAAAGGCAATGGACTTTAATAATAGTAACCCCGTCTCCCCTCGACACACTTGAGCCACACTGGCTCTCTGTCGTATCCCTCGAACTGGCCAAGCTCCTTCCCACCTTAGAAACTCTGTACTTATCTTTCCTGTAACTTTCTGCCCCCAGGATGTCTGCAGAGCTGACTCCTTGTTAGCATTTAGGTCTCAGCTCAAATTTCCTCTGACTCAACCTACAATAGTAGACTATCCCTGCAGGATACTGTCTACCACATCAACCTGTTTTATTTTTTTATCCTTACCTGAGGACATTTTTTAATTTTTTGTTCAGATAGAGTGAGAGGAAGAGAGAGAGAGAGAGAGAGAGAGAGAGAGAGAGAGATCGACGTGAAAGGGACACATCGAATGGCTGCCACCTGCACGACCCAACCAAGGCCGGGACAAACTGCAACCGCGATACGTGCCCTTTGCCAGAACTGAACCCAGGTCTCTCTGGACCGCAGGCCGACACTCTAACCACTGAGCCAAACCAGCCAGAGCCAACCTGTTTTATTTTTGTCACAGCATATACTACCACCTAAAATGAATTTTGTTTGTCTGTCGTTCCCCTTCACTCCACATGCCACACACAACTGGAAAGTAGCCTCCTGAAGAGAAATCCTGCCTGAACACTGGAATAAGTACCTAGCACAGTATCTGCTAGATCATTTCCCGGGTCTATGTTCTCTCTCTCTTCTTCCTTTCACTGTATGTCACCCTTCAAAAATGAATTTGAACACAGGCAACTGCTACTTTTACATTTCCGATAAGGGGATGCAGTGTGTGTGTGGGCTGGGAGTTATACATCCTGATACCAGGATGTTAGCAGAGAGAATGGACTTAGTGATCAGAGACACTGTCTTGAACCACATTAATCAGCTTGTAACTTCATGATTTGTTATCTATCGTGTAGTGTCTGTCATTCAGCTGATCTCTTTGGTTCTCTTTAATGTGTTTCTAACTAAAGTCAGCATTCACTATGTGACTTAACTCACTCATTTACACTCAGCTTTCATGTTGTTTCCCGATTTGTTCATCATTTCCTCTCATCCCTTTCTTTTCAATCTCATGCATTTTGACCCAGGCTAGGGGATTTTTTTTTGGCTTGGCTTTTCCCAAATATCTCAAACTTATTGTTACCTGTCAGTTAGAGGAGTGATCACGAGTCGAGGACTGTTTCCTAAATATTCATAGAAGTACTGGAACTGGGCATCACAAATATGAACAAAACAGTGTTTCTGGGAGTCCTCCCAGTGGTGACGAAGTTGAGACAGCCAAGCAAAAGCTTGGGGACTGACAACCTAAAAGCATCACATGATCATTACACATAAGACACAGTTGTGAGGCAACAATCTCAATCTATTAACCTAATCAACTTTATTGATTCCGTTTTATTTCTAAAAATCTCACAAAAGGGAAATCTCTTGCATGCTACAGCAAATTGTAACTGCATCTAGATGGCTGAATACTTAATAAGAAATATGTGTGTAATTAAAGTCATCATGTTGAGAAGGCTTTTACTGTAAACGGCATCCATTTGTTCAAGCAATGCTTTTCCTCTTCGCATGAATCACCCCAGGACATTCGATCGCTTTTGTAACCTTAGATTCATAGCACTAAAATCAGATGGAAAAATATAACCTCTATTAAAACGACACATCCTCCATAATTTCTGAAAGCTGGAAGTAAACTATACTCTCAACAGTCCATTCTAAAACCAGTCTTCTTTCAGTACAGAGGTTCCCACTTCATTTTTTGTTAAATCAAATAACAGCATCTTTTTCCATTGCTATTCCTTACTCTCTTACTCAATCTTATCCATTCTTCTTCCAGTTGAAAATATAATTCCAGTCTCTTTCAAAATACATGTGACCTTAGGATTTCTGAGGAATCCATTGATGTTACCAAAATTATTGTCTACTAATTTGTCTGATGTCTACAGAAGTCTCAACATTGCCTATTAATGTGTATTAGATTATCAGAAATGAGACAGTCAGTATCTCTTTTAGTATAAAATAAAGGACATATTTTAAATCATAATTTATGCTATTGCAGGCAAATCATACTGACAACACATAATAAAATATGTAAGAGGTGTGAGGTCATATTCAAAGTGTAGTTATCAATGGTTCATTATCAAAATGAGAATACACAGTAAGTGGCATTTTGCAAGGATCAGTTTTTGAATTAGCAGTTAAAGAACATTATTCACTAATGGTCCTTAACCTGGATCAAGAACTATTTTTAAATGTATGGATTCCACAAAGAAGCACTGGCTTGCACTTTGTGGAGAGAATTAAAATTCATTTTGATTTAAATAACTTCAACAGAAAGCATTTCACAATATATACATGCATTCAGATTGTCTGGTTTTAGAACCACCACCACCCAAAACAGCAAAACCAAAGGGATTTGGAGGAAGTAGGTGAAAGGCAGGATATATCAATTCTGTTCAGTGGACAATCATACCTGGCTTTTACAAGTAGGCACCTATTTTGGAAAGGGGGGGGGGATTCTTTCACACTAAAAAGTACCAATCTCTAAGAGACACACAGACTTTTTCAAGGGATAAAGAGGTTAGTAAGGCACCGAAAGGATTAGAAAATAACTTATTTAAAGGAAGTCACTTAGTCTTGAAAGGAAAAGGCAAGGGGTGACCAACATTTCTCTTCCTTCGAAAGGAAAATAATCAAAGGCACACAGAGATGGTTGAAATGACACAGATGGTCCAACTACCAGCTGGACAAGGCACAGAGGGGATAATCACCGGCCGGTGGACCAAGGTGAGTGGGTACAGAGGAGGCGGGAGACAGAGATGAACATGGTGACGTCTCAGGCTTCTCTCATCCTGGGTTAATTTTTTGGATGATCTGGATCAGAGGCTCCTGACTTGACAAAACCCTTTGGGGATATCATTTGGGATAACTCTCCCGAGAATATATTTGCTAACTCAAATCAAACTCACCCAACGTAAGTACAACTAACCTTTGAGGACTAATTAAAACACACAAACCTAAAAAGAAAAGCAACAAGCGATTTTCTTAGAAGTACTCCTGACAATAAACACCACTTTCAGGAAACACCATAAACTCCATGAAGTCCCTCCGAACAACTTGCCTTCTGAGAAATAAGCTTCGCCACCACATCTCTGGCGTGGACGTCTATGGTGCAGATCGTCATAATCTTCTGTCTGTCTCCAGGCAGGAGATCGCCCAGCAGAAGTGCAATCAGTGCGTTCAACTGAGAAATCTGGAAGGAATTGTTTACAAAGAAGGTAAGGCTTACAATCCAGAATCTAACAGCCTCATGGTCTTCGTGTGTGTCAAGAGTCCCTTAGTTTACCAAACAATTTCAAGTGTTATCCCAGCTGGCCCTCAAACAACCCCGGGGGTAGATGAAGGGAGGGGTGTTATTAAGCTAATGAGTTTAAGTGATTCGGAGACTGTTACCTCCTCTGAGCTGAGATAGAGAAGTGCACCTGTGGGTGGACGAAGCCCGGGAGAAGCGAGGTCGGGCGGCACTGAATCACGCTTCCCCCCAGTGATGATGAGGCCACAGCTCCGCTGGGAGCGGAAATGACTAAAAGCTCTCGGAGGCCCGGTTGAGCTAACCTCTGTAAAAGTATAGGAAGAGCTAAATATCAAGGGTTTCGTTCTTTTTTTTGGTTTGGGGGGTTTTCTTGCCTAGGAGATAGTGATGATTAATGAGAAAATATTTAAAATTCCAGCTGAAGACTATCACGCGTAATTCTTCTTATTCGCATTCCTATTCTTATTTAGGTCCATCGATTTGTCAGATCAGTGCTTTTCTTCTTTAAATGAGTTTTTATTGATTTTTTTAGAGAGAGAGAGAAACATTGATCCGTTGCCTCCTGCACGCCCTCTAGTGGGGATCGAGCCAGAAACCCAGACATGTGCTCTGACCGGAATCGAACCGGGACCTCTCAGTCCATGGGACACCATGGGACGATGGCCAACCCACTGAGCCACACCTGCTGCCGGATCAGCCTTTTCCAAATTACTGGTCTCTCCCTAGAAGGGAGAGGAAGGGAGTGGAAGGGAAAACGTGGCGTGGCCATAGGAAGAGTAACGTGTTGTTTCGTGACACTGTTTCCATTTCTGACTTTTGAGTGTACACACATATGTGTGAACTTGGTCTGATATGAAATATTTCTTCTTAACTGTGGTCAGAAAGCTTTGGAAGATACTCTCGTACGTGACCACTGTGTTAGCAAACTTATTTACACAACACATTGCTGCCTAACTCAAGGCTTATTAGCCCCCCCGCCAAAAGTCTTTTATTTTTGAGTAGCATATTGTAAACCAATACTGTCCCCTCTCCTTTTTCGCTCTGCAGAGGACAGTCAGTTACAAACTCATCTCCTGAGAGGGTTGGTAGTAGGTGAGTGTGGTATCACCAGAGGCTCTCAAACCTTCAGTCAAAAACCTGTTCCCTACAGAGCTATCATCACATCGCAGAAACACCCAACGCTGCGGGCTTCAGAGGATTATGAAAGGACAGGCAAGATGAGCAAGCAGGCAGGGTGAGCGAGCAGGCAGGATGAGCGGGCAGGCAGGATGAGCGGGCAGGCAGGAGGAGCGGGCAGGCAGGATGAACGGGCAGGATGAGCGGGCAGGCAGGATGAACGGGCAGGATGAGTGGGCAGGCAGGATGAGCGGGCAGGATGAGTGGGCAGGCAGGATGAACGGGCAGGATGAGTGGGCAGGCAGGATGAGCAGGCAGGATGAGCGGGCAGGCAGGAGGAGCGGGCAGGATGAGCGGGCAGGCAGGATGAGCAGGCAGGATGAGCGGGCAGGCAGGATGAGCGGGCAGGCAGGAGGAGCGGGCAGGCAGGATGAACGGGCAGGATGAGCGGGCAGGCAGGATGAACGGGCAGGATGAGTGGGCAGGCAGGATGAGCGGGCAGGCAGGATGAGCGGGCAGGCAGGAGGAGCGGGCAGGATGAGCGGGCAGGCAGGATGAGCAGGCAGGATGAGCGGGCAGGATGAGCGGGCAGGCAGGATGAACGGGCAGGATGAGCGGGCAGATGAGCGAGCAGGCAGGATGAGCGGGCAGGATGAGCGGGTAGGATGAGCGGGCAGGCAGGATGAGCGGGCAGATGAGCGAGCAGGCAGGATGAGCGGGCAGGATGAGCAGGCAGGATGAGCGGGCAGGCAGGATGAGCGGGCAGGATGAGCGAGCAGGCAGGATGAGCAGGCAGGATGAGCAGGCAGGCAGGATGAGCAGGCAGGATGAGCGGGCAGGCAGGATGAGCGGGTTGGGGTGGCGGGCAGGATGGCGGGCAGGCAGGAGAGCAGGCAGGATGAGCGGGCAGGATGAGCGGGCAGGCAGGATGAGCGGGCAGGCAGGATGAGCAGGCAGGATGAGCGAGCAGGCAGGATGAGCGGGCAGGATGAGCGGGCAGGCAGGATGAGCGGGCAGGATGAGCGGGCAGGCAGGATGAGCGGGCAGGATGAGCGAGCAGGCAGGATGAGCGGGCAGGATGAGCGGGCAGGCAGGATGAGCGGGCAGGCAGGATGAGCGGGCAGGATGAGCGGGCAGGATGAGCGGGCAGGCAGGAGGAGCGGGCAGGCAGGATGAACGGGCAGGATGAGCGGGCAGGCAGGATGAGCGGGCAGGATGAGCGGGCAGGATGAGCGGGCAGGCAGGATGAGCGGGCAGGCAGGAGGAGCGGGCAGGCAGGATGAACGGGCAGGATGAGCGGGCAGGCAGGATGAGCGGGCAGGATGAGCGGGCAGGATGAGCGGGCAGGCAGGATGAGCGGGCAGGCAGGATGAGGCTGGCAGAGAGATGAAGGGCAGGATGAGCGGGCAGGCAGGATGAGCGGGCAGGATGAGCGGGGAAGGATGAGCGGGCAGGCAGGATGAGCGGGCAGGCAGGATGAGCGGGCAGGATGAGCGGGCAGGATGAGCGGGCAGGCAGGATGAGCGGGCAGGATGAGCGGGCAGGCAGGATGAGCGGGCAGGATGAGCGGGCAGGCAGGATGAGCGGGCAGGATGAGCGAGCAGGCAGGATGAGCAGGCAGGATGAGCAGGCAGGCAGGATGAGCGGGCAGGATGAGCAGGCAGGATGAGCGGGCAGGCAGGATGAGCAGGCAGGATGAGCGGGCAGGCAGGATGAGCGGGCAGGATGAGCGGGCAGGCAGGATGAGCAGGCAGGATGAGCGGGCAGGCAGGATGAGCGGGCAGGATGAGCGGGCAGGATGAGCGGGCAGGCAGGAGGAGCGGGCAGGCAGGATGAACGGGCAGGATGAGCGGGCAGGCAGGATGAGCGGGCAGGATGAGCGGGCAGGATGAGCAGGCAGGCAGGATGAGCGGGCAGGCAGGAGGAGCGGGCAGGCAGGATGAACGGGCAGGATGAGCGGGCAGGCAGGATGAGCGGGCAGGCAGGATGAGCGGGCAGGATGAGCGGGCAGGCAGGATGAGCGGGCAGGCAGGATGAGCGGGCAGGATGAGCGGGCAGGCAGGATGAGCGGGCAGGCAGGATGAGCGGGCAGGATGAGCGGGCAGGCAGGATGAGCAGGCAGGATGAGCGGGCAGGCAGGATGAGCGGGCAGGATGAGCGAGCAGGCAGGATGAGCAGGCAGGATGAGCAGGCAGGCAGGATGAGCGGGCAGGCAGGATGAGCGGGCAGGATGAGCGGGCAGGCAGGATGAGCAGGCAGGCAGGATGAGCGGGCAGGCAGGATGAGCAGGCAGGATGAGCGAGCAGGCAGGATGAGCGAGCAGGCAGGATGAGCGGGCAGGCAGGATGAGCGGGCAGGATGAGCGGGCAGGATGAGCGGGCAGGCAGGATGAGCGGGCAGGCAGGATGAGCAGGCAGGATGAGCGAGCAGGCAGGAAGACAAAAACCACAGCACACTCAGTTACAGGGAGGGAGAATGTACATGCCCGGCACTGACTGAGCACATTGTCTGTATCATCTCATTTAAATCTTCACAACCATTTGTTATTATCCTAATTTGGCAGGTGAGCAAACAGAGTCACAGACATAATAACCACATTATCAGTCAGGGGAGGGGGAATTCAAACCTAGGCGGTCTGACGGGCCCTCACTGGCCATATCACACAGATTCTCTGTACCAGCCTGCACAAGACTGACCACCCAGCACCTTCAAAGGTGACAAAACAGCAAACACAGTGCAAAGCTGGTTCAAGGAATCAAAAATATGCACTTTAGATATTCAGCATATACCACAGCCCCATAAGCATGAATCTACTTTTAATATCTCACACCTATAAAATGTAGTTATGTTGTAACAAAAACAAAGGTGATCATTGTTCGATGTTCAATGTTCATCACCCCTACGGCTCAGGTTCCACGGAGAAAAGGTCTGTCTGTCCTGTTCACTGCTTTGTCCCCAGAACCACTGAGGACCTAGATGTCAAATAGCAGGTCCTCACTGAGTTTTTCCAGAAATAGCTAAATGAATGTACCAGGCACAGGTAAGTTTCTCAAGAAAATTTACACAGGTGTGGGATAGAAAAGAGGTGTTTGGCTTTGGATATTTTTTCATCTGGATCCAGATATCCCGTCTTCACAATCTCAGATCTTACACCAGCACCAGTGTTTGGTTACAAAGGGTGGCTGTAGCAACAGTGATGTCTTAGACCTTGTAAGAACACGTATCTGTCCGAGTGCTTTCTCAGCGTTGTTTTGCCAGAGCCCCCCTACAGCCTGGGATTTCTCCATTATTGATTCCGTTTTTCACAAAAGTTCAGTCACATGAAAGATGATTAAAAATATAGCTCATCAACATTATCGGCACAGCATCATATGTTGGGGATCTCATGCTGTCTCTCAAGATTAAACCTACTCCAAAAATGTTCCTCTGTAAGTAATAAAATTCTATACTCACAAAAATAAAGTTATAAGATGTCTGTATCACTTGGGCAGTGTCATCAGGCAGCAATTACTACAACTGCATGCAAGTTTGTGGTCTGTGGCATGTAAACCACACCTCGGCAGCTTTTAAAATATATACACCCTATCATATAATCAGCACCTGTTCTTGCCCTTCATCAAAGCAGTGTCCCATGATTTTCTACCAGATCAAAGATGTTTGCCTCAAGTCAGATACCCAGTAAGCCCTTTGAAACCCAAGTGGCTACCTCCCTGGTGCACCTTGGCCTTCAGCTCATTCATGAGCACAAAGCCTTCCATGACCGCCACCCCCCCCTTCCCCACCTCGCATCCACCCAGCGTCACTGGCCTTCTCTCTGCTCCTCC